GGCAACTTCATGGCTACTTTTGGCGTGCAGCAGTACCGACAGCAACACAAACTGGAGGAACAGTCTCTACACTGGTACTACCTGAACTCTCACAGTGGCTGAAAGTCAGAGTACTACAGCTCATTTTTAATTTCTTGTTGCAAATAGATTTCAGAGAGCCTAATCACTCTGTACAAGACTTAGTACGACAGCAAATGCATCTCTATGCAATGAGGGGGAGTTCAAGCTAGCTTGTATTAAAAAAATGTATCAAAATGTCCAAAGAAACTTGTGTAAAGGGTATGTCTATTTCTAAACAGATGCCTGCTAAATTAGAAAACAGTTGTTTTTCTCTGTAGTTAAACACTTAAATAGTGAAAATTCAAACTTGAAGAAAAACACAGGCTAGTATTTGTAAAATTAAACAATGCAGCCAGCTTAATGATGATGTCTAAATCAAATAAAAAATTAAAAAGTTTATGAACATATGATCATTTTTAAATGACAGAAATATCAAACCTGTCACTTTTGAAGCTTTCATGGTCACGATGGTCAGAATTTCATGTTTCTATTTCCATGAAGTCAACAATGACTGATAAAATTCATAAGTTACAAGGAGAAAAATTTCCTGCATTCGAATACAAATATGTTGTATTTTAAAAAATAAGTTCCTTCTTTTTTTTAACTTTTACATTTGCTTCTAATCATCTGCTTCCATTCCAACAAAAGTTTATACCTTCTCAATTTTTTGCTTTAAATACAGAAATGAAATTTCAGAACAATGGAATATTTATCTTGTCTTCAAGGAAATATGAATTACTTATCCCATATGTCTTCTGTCACATTGATATCACGTGATTTCTACATGTTTAGTGTCACATAGTGTACCCACAAGAAAAATCAGAAGGCTGACTTCAGTCTTAGTGTGTAGCTAAGACACTGATGGTAAAAAATGACATTATTTCTTTGCTCCAGCATCAAACAAAAATCAGATCTAGATAATGAAAAAGACTTTTTTTGTCAGGAAGACATTTAAATTTGGGATAGTTATGAAAATTTCAACATCTGCTTCAGTCTGCTACTGCTTGAAGTATATACTCTATATTGCCAATGTTTAGTACATGTGGTACATTGTAGACCACAACACATTTAAGGAGTAGCAGGTGATATTTAACACAGTGAAACACTGTGGTGTGGACACCTGCAATCTCTGTGTGAATCACTTTGATTAATTATAATAACCCTAATGACTTGATCCATGGAGCTGCTTTAATAAGGCCCACATGATGATGCCTTGAAAGCTGAAGACTCTAGTCAGAGTTTAAAGAAAAAAGTAATTTTTCTTGAACACTTAAAATTTCTAAATGCTACCTAAGCAAGTTTTTACTGTGCTTTTTTGAGAGGAATTTCCTAATACTTAAAAAAAAATTCACTATCTTTGCCATTATTTGTCAAACACTACTAGTGTTGTACTGCCAGCGTACTCTGCAGTAGCTGCACACCCAATGGAACATAAATTCTGCTTTCTTGCCTGGTCCCTTAGTCTATCTAATTTACAAACTGTGTAAAAAAACCAAGTACCTTTCCCATTCCCTTCTCTCCTTCCATTTGTGCTGTCTCCCTTACTTCTCATTTCCATTCATTCATATACAGAAACTATTATCTCTCCTCTCATTTACTATTTTCATTTTACTCCCTCCTCGATCAACTATGTGAACAAAGAGAGTTATGAATTAGAACTTCACATAAAACTTCTCACTGAAAAAATGCTGTCCTACATCCTTATAGAACCAACAAAACAGAACCCAAAATATATTGATATATTATATTCTTGTTGAATTTCCAGTTTTCCAGATATACTTTAGAAAAAAATTACTTTCCTTCCTCCCCCCCACTTTCTTTAAGCTTAGAAATAACTAAAAAATTCTAAATTGTTAAATCACTAAATCCTGACTTAAAATCGAATCACACTTCCACTACCCTTATCAGCTTCTCTTTCCCTGCTAATACTACAAACAGTACTTTGTAAGAAAAATTTTAGGACTTTAAATACAGAACCTACAAATACAAATTGAATTGTATGCAGAAGAATATCCACGCTTGTGTGCTGCAACTGGCTTTTGAAAGGCTGCTGCCTTTAAGGTGCCTATGATTCTTATCTGAGCCACTGTAATTGAATATACAAGACACATCAGACTTTTTCAAGGCAAACTAAAACCTGCTTGCAAAAAATTGTTTCTGAAGAAGGCACTTTCAGTTGCTTCCAACATAGAAAACAAAACTAAGGCACTAAGTGAATTTTGCAATTACTTTATCTGTTTCATATGGGAACAACTTACTGGAAACTGCACATTATCAGGGTTCCTATTCACTACTTTCATGTTGATAGGGGTCACTTATATCATCTCCTTTGAAATACCTAAGGAGATTTATAGATGTCAATTTTGACAAATTTTCCTTTTATATTATTTCTTTATGTATCATCCTCATACATTTACGCGCATGGAACAAGGAAGAAAGAAAAACATTTGCCTTCTCAGCGCTTCACTTTAGAGAGCAGGCCCTACTAACAAAACCCGCACCCAGAGTAAAGAACATACTCATTAAGTGTTCCATTTCCTTCCACAAAACAGTAATTAATATTGTTGTACTGGGAATATATTTTATCTAATATTGAGACATTAGCATTTAATGTCCTTAGCATTTAATAGATATGAGTCCTTAGCATTTAATAGATATTATATATACATATTTCATCAATTTTGGAAACATTTTAACAAATCTGTGGACATCTATGATTTGTAAAATGAAAAGAAACAAACAGACATACCATTTTTCATAATGGATCCATTCTCTGGGAACAGTTGAAGCAATAGCTGTGTTACTCATTGGCCAAAGAAATTTGATAAATCTTTATTTATTTATAAGAACCACTTTCTACTATTTTGTAAGAAAACCGTAAGTAAGAACAGATACACAGACTTCTGGTTTGCCCCATGTATTATTTAAAGAAGCTTTAAAACTTTTTTTTTCCTGAGTTATGTTTTGTGACTCAAGAGGAAAAACCCTCAAATATTAATCTATTTCTCATAGTCTAACAATGAAGGAAAAGCAAAAAGAACCCAATACTTTAAATTTGATGAGCATCCAAGAAAAGCAAGCACTGAACTCTACACTTTTATTTTTGCAGAATCAATTTCTAAATAGGAAATCATATATGCCATACTAAAGGGTTCCAGCTGAGAAAAGAACATTAATTTAGGAAGTTTATAATTTGTGGCGAAGAAGGGGATGGACATCTGATATGTACTTTTTCAGTCCTCTGAATGTAAGTACAGTTAGAAACACAGTATTTTCTATGATATCTCTAAATCTAAATAACACATGCAAACAAGGGACTCAGTTGGAAAGGCAATTGCATAGGATCTGTAAGATGTTGGACACTTTTCTTCATTCCATTTTGGAGAAATCCGTGAGAGATACAGGGTAAATATGCGGAGCAAGTACTGCAGTCTGCTGCTACTATATTTATGTGCACATATACATAGCCTTGTGACTCTTCTGCGGGCAGGATGCCACTGACTTTTCCATAACGTCAAGCAAGTGATTTATGTGATCAGGTGAAGACATGTACATGATATTTTTTTCCAGCTCATTTCCTCTCTCTGCCTGTTCTTTAACTTGAAGATAAATTTAAGTTTCTGCTATCCAAACTGCATCTTGATGGAGAAAAATGTCTAATGTTTTAATATTATGATTGAAGCAATTCTTAAATATGTTATTTTGGCCCAGTTTTGCACAGATGACATCTACTTGGATGAAGTACAAAAATGCTGCACTCTTTAAATCCCTGCTTCCAGTGAGAAGTGTGAGTGTATTGCAGTGATATGCAAAACCACAGCAGGTCTAGTCATGCATGTACAGAATGACAGAATGCTGGACAACATGAAATTGTAAAGTACATGCAGAACCTGTGTGTATCTGTGGTGTTGGCCAAGCTGTTGAGGACGCAATGAAGCAGAAGTCCTAGAAGTGTGAATCATTTCGCAAAATTTTCCAAGGTGGGACTTTGAAAATCTGAATCAGGCAGATCAAGCTCAAGAACTGCTATTTGCAAGGGCGACTGTTTTGTTTACTGTTGTCACAGCCAAACAGCCATCCAAAATTGAGCTTTTCCTGAACTACCTTTTTTTAAATACTACAAGTGGATGACACTACAAAAGTCCTTGTCTTGCTTTACAAGAACCTTTGCGATAAATTGGAAAACACACCTAAACTCTGAATGCAAGAGATGGAGACAAAGCTAATGCTTTGTCATGCTAATGACTGGCCTAAAATCCAAAGATTCAGTTCCAGTTCAGGGCTTTTTTAATACCCTGAATAAACACTGTGGTTCTTAAGGAATTCTATTATTGAAGAGTCCTTGTCTAAACTAAAAATGTGCTTTGAAGCTAGCACTAATATGACTTCATAGTCCACTCCTTTGAACTGCAATGGCAGGCACCAGCTGGACATGGACTGTATTGTCACACTAATCTAGTCCTGAAAGCAGAAGCATTGCAGTGGAATGCTTCTCCATTATGCTAACTTAGAGGGACTTTCTCTTTCCTGAAGACCTTCCAGCTACTAAGCAAGCATTAGAAAAGATTTGCTAATATAAGTGACCACTCCTTTTGGTGGCTGACCTCCAAAATATGTCTCAAAGCTGTTAGAAATATGATAATTAACACTCTATATAATAAACTGAAGAATTCTGTAGTTAAAAGATAATTTTGTTTTAAATCCTAATTCTCTATATTACCTAGTGGAAAGACCTATTGATAAGAAATATGAAATTAATACCACTGATGGAATTTGTAGAAGAATACAGTAGTGGGTACTAGTGAATCACCAAGGAGATCTGCAATTTTGAAGGAGAATGTTTCTTTTCTTCATCATCGCCTTCTGTTAGATTTGTCCAACAATCCAGAGAAGACCCAAAAGAAATTATAAATCACTGTCTAATAAATGCTGTGCACAGGTGAATTTTAATAATGATTTATTTGTAAAGAAACAAAATAAAAATGTAGATATATCTTGGATAGCACCCAAAATTCATCTGTTCCTCACCCATGGCCAATCTCTACTAATGGACACAGCAAACACCACAAACATGCTCAGGAATCAGGCATCTTGCAGTTCAGTCCATCTTCTGTTCCACTGCATCAGGCAGAAGAATGGGATCATGCCTCAAATTGAAGTTAATCTCTTATGGTCTGTCAAGTTCAAGATGCACTCCTTGAAACCAAAGTTTCTCTTTAAACCTGTTTGAAAAATGTCAGTTAATATTGCCCATATTTTTAATGGTGGCATAGACAGGTTTTTGTGGTCTAGTGAAAATAAAAGATTAGATATCAAATGAACTGTGATTACAGAGAGAATATAAAATATTCTAAATCTCATCTTACTGACCAAAAGATACTATCTATAAACAACAGAAGATTAGAGAAAAAATTAGGATAAATCTAACCTTTCCATACTGTCTACATGTTTTAATCATACTGAATTCTCTGTGTGATTTACGTAAAATTATGATGATCTTGCATGTCAGGTTTTACTTAGGAATAACTGCCATAGCCCAGTAATATGGAAAAAAATCCCTGAACAAAATATGTGGGATCAATGCCATGAAGCCAAGTGCGCAGGCAGCTCACAAGGAAAAGTACAAAGCTTTTGAATCAACATGTGCAAAACCTTTCCTTTATGTTTACATGTTGTGCTACATCTAGATAGATAAACCTTAGAAATTTAAAGACAAAAATGTTCTTTTTTTTTTATCAGAATCTTATATTCATTCTTATCAGAATTTTATATTCATGAGGCAAGAATTCATCCTGTGCTGAAAGTCAAAGGGATTAGTGACTTAATGTATCTCATTTATTTAATCTGAAATTGCACAGTGGGAAGCATTGTTATCTTTAATCAATTAAGGAATAACAACAGTTCCTGTCTTATTAGGATTGCTACTTATTCTTTAGAATAAGACTTGACTAATATAAAACCTTGCTTATATATTCTGCTCATGAAACTTCACGTAACTGCATCAATTTGCACTTCTGTAGTACTTTGTGTTTTAAATTCTTCAATGTTACTTTAATATCTAGATTAAGATGACTAGATTTCAAAAAACTATTTCACTAAACATAAATACATAATAAACATAAATACCTTGCACAGGCTCAATTTTCTAATGTATTACTAATTATTTGATCTAAAAATTACGCATCTTTTGATGAAGAATTAAGTGAAAAAGGGAGTCACGTATTCTGCACATAACATAGAAATTCATAGATTAGGAAGAGTGATGTGTGCTTTTTAAATTAAGGTTGTTACAGTTGTTGCAGTAGTACAAGTTGCAGCATGGAGTAAGATGCAGGTTACCTTACTGGAGTACATTTAGCCACTGGCCTTTCTTCTCTCCCACATGGTGTGTCCTGGGCTTGTACTAGCTCCGCTGTGGTGACATTCACTTCTTCTGAAAAGTATCCATCTTCACATTCTGGTTTAGCCTGAGTTACACTGGAAGTGTTGGGGGGTTTATTTTTCTCTGAAACAAAATACGTCCATTAGTTGCTCATGTAATAAGGCAAGAGGGTGCCAAAAGCATGCAGCTGGCAGGAGCAATCACCTATCACCGTCACGAAAGCAGAACAGTGGGCCTTTCCAATTTCATTGCTGGCAACACAGATATATTTCCCAGTATCAGCAAGGACTACATTTCTTTTTAAAAGGTAATAGGTATCTCCTAATTTCTCAGTCTGTAAAACAAGAGAATATACATAGGGGATAATTAGTACCATAAAGCAAATTTTTCTCCCAAGAAAAATTTCAAGAACATTAAAACATACACTGATATCTCCAGATACCACTTGGATGTCATCCTTTGTCCAGCAGACATGTGGTTTGGGCTTTCCATGTATAGTGCAATGCAAGATTAAATCGTCTCCTTCCTGCAGAGTTCTATGTCCAAACTTTTGTATGAAGTTTGGCTGTTTTCCTTGTACTGAAAAAAAAAAATCAAATCAGTATTCATTGTGTTTTAAAAGACAGCTAAAGCAACTGAAGAAAAGAATCTGTTCTGGCAATGTTTATCACATTAAAAGACAAAGAGAGCCTTTACTGATGCCTGGAACTCAGAATAACTTGTTTGCAAGACAATTGTTATATATCGTTTATCTAGCTAATATAACATTTGTTAAAAAACATGGATTTTAAGCACCCAAGAATTTCATGCATCAGCATAGTGGTATTAGTTCTGTGGAAGTGGTAAAGAATTATATTGTTTGGTACGATATTAAGCAAGTCTGTGTCAATTATTGCTTCAGCAAAGGTGGAAGATTAATCATTCCACACAAATTTAAAGTGACAAAGTCATGAGAGCAAATTTTATAATTTAGTGCATTCCTGTACATCACATTTCTTCATTTCCCCCCTCTATTATTTTAGTTTTTAAAAAAGTTGTTGTAAAGATTTAGAAAATTGATATTTGCAACTAATATGAAGGGCAGAATTATGGCTCTCTACAGCTTTGACCACATCATTATTTTGGCTGTCATTAATATTGAAACCATGTGCTACCACATCATCCAGTACAAATTTGGTTCAGATGAAGGATGAGCAATTTGTTTTTTATTGCAATATCCAAAGCACGTGAGATTGATTTTGTGCTAGCCTCATGCCAACTGTGGAAGGACAGGTGATACCTGAACCACTACAAGGACTGATCAATACAAATTAACCCATCAAAATTGAAGAAATTTTGATCATCAGCATCAGTTTGTACTGAATAAAAGAATTGCTTTCTGTGACATGTAACTCAATGACCTGTAAAGCTGGATTTATTGAATCATTGTATTACCACCTGAGGTTCCACTTATATTCCCCCTATGAGGTTGCAGTAAAAAGAGAAGACAAGCTCAGAATTCACTAAGTATTCTTGACACAGGGAATGTAAACTAGAAGATGTTAACACAAGAACACACAAAGACACCCTACAATAAAAACTATCTTTTTGCATCTCTATCACATAAAGAATGTGTCCTCCTTTCTCTTTAGTATAAATTGTACCACATTTCCAAAATATTTGACAAAGGTTATCACTGGCCTTCTCCAAAACAGAAAGGTTTGGAACTGCCATGACACCATAACTCCACTGTTTAAGGATGAAAACCATTTCTTTGTGTTATTATGAAACAAAAATCAACTTACTTCACACAGGTGCCCATCAACTTCTAAACCCAAATATATTGAGCCAAAGGCTATTTTTGCCAAGTGTGGGCCTGCTGGCATCACAAGGCAGACATTTTGACCACTGTATTAATAAATTCACTTCTTAAGTGAGCTCATAGTTCCAATAAGCTTTTAAGCTTATCTGCTTTCATATTCTTCCTAGGTACTGCAGGGCTGAGGCACCAAGGCAAAGCAGAAGAATGTAAGTTTTGCTCTCCCATATTGATGCTAACTTTGTGTGACCTCTCTATTAGCCAGCCAGAGCAGCTCAACTCAGTTCTTAGCTGTTGAAGGTTAGCATGTGCAAGCTGCCACCCCCATTGCATTGCATGCACCTGAAGCCCAGAAATTTGAGATCTCCAGCTTCACTTCAAGCAAGAGAACCAAGTTTACATCCCTGCCTACTCTTTGCAGGCAGTTAGCAACAGGTCACAAATAGAACATGATTAGCTAGTATTCCAGTGGAAAACATTAAGTGGGCCTCAGCCGCTCCTTGGGATAATTTTGGCTGGATTCCATAACTTGTGCAGTTTGGATTACCTTGTGTAGTCATGTTGAATCTGATACCAAAATGATTTTTACCATTAAAAAAAAAAAAAATTCTGAGTGGAATGGTGACTGTAATAATGATCAGACCACATCTTGACTTTATATCAGTAAGGCAGCAGAACATAAAAAGTGAAAGGTTCGGTTTCTAGAGAGCAAAGGTATGTGCAAATAAAATCATTAAGTTCTTACAACTCTTTCAGGCACAGGCTTTACCTCAACAAAGTCTGCTGTGAAAAAAAGATTTTATCATTTGACAGCAACCTTCAAAATAGAATGGGTGGTTATATTTCACCAATGGTTTTCACATGATAGCATAACAAAAACTCAGAATACAATTTGTTAATTGCAAATTATTTCTTGGCTGGATATCCCATGATCCCATCCACACAGGTTAGAAAGAACAGATCACTTCTTCCATTGTGGGAAAAATAATCAGGTAGCCAGTGGTACTGAAATACCACTCTTACAGCTGCAGACAATAATTTTGTCAACTATTAAATATTCCATGAATTATCTGTAGGAACCAGTAGAGTTATGCTGCAAACTGGGGAATAAGCACAGAAAAATCATCAACCTGAAGCAATGCAAAATCTGCAGGAGAAAAGTTCACCTTCATCTGTCTATTACACTGCCTTCACCCCTGCCTAAAGTCTCTCTTACATACAGGTGTGCAGGTCAAGCCAAATTGGTTTTAACAGCTAATTTTTAAATTAAATTGCTTCACAGTTATTCTCAATCTATTTACACTAGGCATGTAATTTCCAGTCTCTGGTGTCTTGAAATGCGAAATTAGCAGTTTTATGAACTTCCCCTGTCTTCTCTATGAATTTAGGTTAGGCAGATTCCCACCATGCTGCTTAGAGACTTTAGATTTGCTCAACATTACTCTAAATTACTCTAAACTCTAACAGCACACTTTACTGTTTGGAGATTTTGTCTCAGTCAAGCTCCTAACACAAACATAAGGATTCCTTTATTAGGAATTAAGCAGGTGTCGTGACCCAGTTGACCTGAAATATCCATAACCCCAGAGCTTCAGTCTCCTTGAATACCATGTGTAACCTCTTTAAAGTCTTGGCAGTAATTTTTCAAGACACAGTTCCTCTAGACCACAGATGATAACACACACACAAAAATTACTCCTTTACCCTAGAAAAGTCTCCAGAGAAAGGTGCAGAAGTAAGCATACCTTACCAGTCATTTGAGAGGAACTCACCTTCTCCTTTGCAGCTCCAGCCACATCTGATCCAATCTGGGTAATGACTCATCCTCCCTCTGCCTACTGACTCAAACCTGCGACCTCAGACAGGCTGCTTCTCTTGAAAAATTAAAATAATTAATTCCTTTCCCCCTCCAAATTTAGGTACCTTGTGTAAACACCCCTTCACACGACTCCATGTCTTCTAGTCAGGCAGTATCTTTCACCATTTTCTTAAAGGGTGTCTTCATATGGGGAAGAAGGAAGGGAGTGTAGGTTAGTTATATGCTTAATGTCTTTCTTCTAAGGATGGGGGGACTGAGGCTTGAATCTTCACTATAAGGGAGCCATCAGGAAGATGTAAACATTTTGGGATACTGAAGAAACTATAGGCTCAAAACTGTGAGTGCAATGAGGGGAAGTCAGTGTTGTGAACCAAGAAAGAACCAGAACCATACAAAACACCCAGATGCATTCCCTGCTCTACAGTATGGTTAAAAGAAGGAAGAGGTAAAGCATGTAGAGTATAAACTATTAAAAAATATAATGAGAGTGGGAAGCATTATGTTAAGATTATTAGCTGCAACAGAATGAGTGTTTTTTTTCCCTTCAAAGAAATACTAATGCATCATTAGATTACATCACTGTCACTTCCTTTTTTTTTCTCCCCTTTTTTTAGATTATCTAAATAGAACACAGCTGGAATTTTCCAGTAATTTTTTTTTTAAATACTCATTTGAGTCCTTAAATAAAGGGTATTTAAATCCAGACTGCCAGCACAGCAGTAACCAGTGTTGATTATGTCTTTGTTTACAAAGCAGAACATTAAAACCATGAGAGTTTCAGAGTCCTGCTGTGAATCCAGTATCTCTAATCATTCTTTTTGAAATCTTGTTTCTTGCAGCAATTAAAATTGTGGCTGATATCCACCCATTAAAAACTGTGCATTTAAAGCTATTCCTGATTGAAAGTGGATGCAATAACACACTCACAAAATCAACTTTTGTTTACCTAAAATTCACAGAAACTGTCAAATTCTCAGAGGAAATCTTTAAGAATCAAACAAACAAAGGTATTATATACTTCTACAATGATTTATTAAGATCTAAATTACCTTTATTGTGAAATGGAAAATACACTGCAGGAAAACAGGTGAAATTTATACCTGAGGAAATCCTTATGAATCTATATTTTTGGGAGATTACTGAACTTAGAAAGTGGTTCATAAAGGGTAATACCAAGTTAGTTAGAACTTACTGTGTTCCCCATCTGTTCACCACCTCCTCCTCCTGCTCCCTCTCATTGCTGTGAGGTTATATCATGAGAATTTTTCCTTTTTCAAAGTTACAGGAATTTTTTAAATGTTGCAGTCACTAGGCCAAAATATCTGACCCTCAGCAAATACAATATCTATTCTTTTCATAGCATGCTACACAGTTAAAGGTTTACTTCATTCCAGCAAATTATGCAAGAGAAGGTAAATACTTCCTCTTAAAATATTTTCTACAGCAATGCAATTGTAACACAAAAGCTGGTAATCAAAAGATGCAGGAAAAATCATGTAGCTGTTTGACAACTCTTTTTACTGCATAAATGCAACAAATACTGAGGCTGAAGAATGACATTATACTTGAGAATTTATAAATTGGGTCTTCCACCAGCACAATTACATCATTGTTATGTAATAGTTAAACAAATTAGAACTTCAATAAAAAATATATTTGTGGTTGTTCTTGTCAAGAAGGAAATATAAACTGTAGGTGAACAAAGTATTGGTTTGGATTTACTGTTTTGAATTTAAAAGATAATTCTCTTTGACTGACTTTTTTTTTTTTTTTTTTAAATTTGAATACACTTTTGGATGTTTCCCTGATTTGGTTGATTCCGTTTGAAATCAGTGCATTAAAAATTTCAAATGAGTGCAAATGCTCACTTCATAAGTTATTAACTTTCTTGTACACTAACAGTTTAGAGGATTATTAGAAATATTTGTATCTTTAACTTTGTAAGAAGACAGAGAAAGTATCACAGACATCTATTTAAGCAGAGTGGTATATTGGAATGTTTCATTTTATAAACATTGGTACTTTTATGTCCTAGATGCCACTTACACGAATCCTGATGGTTCTGGGTCAGTTCTGTAGCACAATCACAACTCTATTGAACTACTGCAGCTTTCCTTTGTGGAGACTGTATGCTGGGCTGAGACAGATTTAAATCTGATATATATTAGTTCAATCATGAATGGTTTGATACCCTGCCTAAGAAGCTTTGTCCTAAAATTTTTTTTTTTTTTTTTTGTATGCATACAAACAAATATGTGCCTGGAAAAAATACAATTGATGTTTAAAAAAAATTCCAACACCCTCCACACCCTATCCCAAGAGAAGACTTATCCCAAAATATACAATGATCTGAGCACTTTACCTGGCTCTATGCTGACATTTAAAACCTACAACCATTAAAACTGTTTCCAGTGCTTTGGAATGCCTACATTTTTAGAAAGCAAAACTCAGCCTCAGATTCTAGAAAAATCTTCGTAACACTTTTATGTCAACATCAATATGAGAAAGTAGAATAAACACAGAATACTGGCAATAAAGAAACAAGCAACATATCCATTTTGCCATAAAAAGTGGTTTGGTACATATTATGAAAATGCAGTGTAAGAAAATAAATTCAACATGTGATAATTAAGTCCAGTGCAGTCAATATTGTACTTATTTTGTGAATAGCCAGTACATTAGTGATACACTAATATAGATGACACACAGCATTATCCAGTCTATTCTTGCAATAAGTGGCCTGTTACCTTGCACGTGAAGAATGGCACTTGAGGAGATAGTGCCGTTCAAATTTTTAGCCCGAGCAACATAGAGGCCAGCATCTTTATCACACACCTTCTGAATGAACAAAGTATGCTTTGTCTCCTTTTGTAAAAGCTTTAAGTTCTCATCTGCAGTCAGTTTCTGGCCCTTCTTGTACCTAAAGCAGAGAGTCAGTTTTCAAGTCAGAGTTTTATCACTGCATTCCACACAGAACTTTGCAAATGTAGACAATCTCTGTAACACTACAGTAACAGTAAGAGACAGAGAACTGCTGTACTCTCATTTCTCAGTTTTAAACTTAGTCTGTCAATATGCGTGAACAGTTAAACAACGCAAATTATATGATAATACATGCTTAACAGTAGAAAATTGGGTTCTGAAAATGGTTTTCAAGAGACAAGCTACAATTCTCTCACTGCAGCATTAGAGAGGTAACATGAGGGCCCTCAGTTTTGTGCTGAGACATTTTTGCTAATGAGATCTTGAGTCAGTCCACATCCAACTCATGAATAGGCTTCAAAGGATCAACAAACAAACTTTCTAAACTTGTGTCTTCTGCATAAAAGACAGCCAAGAACCTTCCTCCATCCCAGCCCACTTAACATTTTAGCTCACATCGTCAAACAGGATAGAACAATGCATCAGGAATTACTTCAGCAAACTCGTGCCATATTCTAACACTTAAGGATCTGTCATGGTGTATTGGTATTCACTTCTGATTTAAACATGGAAATTAGAGAAAATTCTGGCTCTCCTTACCCCAGCCTATGTTTCAGCATAGGCTACATTTAACCTAACACAAACTATAAAATATTTTCCTGCATGTATAGCCAAAGAAATTTCTACACCAGTAAAAAATACATGTTATTGGTGATTTTTAAATTAAAACCATATTTTTTTCTGTTTTCACAAATTTCTAATTTTCAAAATTATTCCAGTTGAATGTTATCTTTTTGAAAGAATGTTAGTAATGTTAATGTCTTTTTGAAAGCCTGCTAATGGTGTATATATTTTTGGGTTAAATTAATGTTTTCTTACAATAAAATGAATGTCTTGTTTCACCAATAATACTCTTCAGTCTGTACAATACTGGTATTTAAAACAAAGTAACTTTATTGATACCAACAAAGTATAGCACCAAGGTTTCAGTGTCCAGTATTCTTCTCAGTGCCACCAAAAAAATTTCAGTTTAACAAAAACATACAGTTTAATTCTTTAAATGTGCAATAATAATAATAACATCAAGTTTTTTCCAGTAAGAGGCATACTTAATTTTAATACATTAAAAGGAAGGCCTCAATTTTGAAAGACTAATGGAATAAGTGGAGAAAAGACAAATGAGGTAAAATTGAAGGAATACATGTCACAATATATAGAACTATGAAAAAAAATCTCAAAATCCTCTCCCTCTTTCAGTCCCTGTTCCCTTTGGCAGGGAAGTTTTAGAGTTCAGACATTTACATTACATCATCTGTATTTCTCACAAATCCAATAATAAAGTACTCTAAATAGACATGTAGCAATTAAGAGAGAGATAGACCATGCACACCAATATGTGATACAAAACTGATTCTCTTAGTGTAGATATTTAGGTGGGGTTTTTTTAACATGCAACCTTAGTTTTGATACCTGACTTTCACATATGTGTAACTGTGTCCCCATCTACACAGTGACTACATAGATATTTCAGTGTGCATGCACATCTATGTCTCTGTCCATGCATAGTGCCCAGAGCCTGGGAAAGAGGAGGTGAATTTATTTATAGTAAATCTGAAGGTTTTAAGAAGGCATTGAACAAGTAGAATGCCATATTCCAGATTATGAAAACTGTATGCTGATTTTGCTTGTAAACACTGGATATGTTTGCAGTACTTTGATACTCTCATTCCTGAAATTTGGTACAGAGAGATTATTTCAAGATGGTTAATTGTTGAAAACAATTCTGAAGGTGGAAATCATGCAGAAGTGTGTAGTAGAAGGATACAAGCCTTTTATTCTAGCCTACAGATGAATTGATTTGGTTATAAGCAGTTGATGGTGGCTCGCTACTAGGTATATTTGCTACTTCTCATTGCAAGCTACCCACCATGTCAGTGTAGGCTCTGGGAATCCCGTTACTTCTACTTCCAAAGTTACTGGAGAACCTTCCATGACGGTTTTGTTAGACAGAAGCCGGGAGAAGTTAGGCGCCTGTCCAGTTAGGCTGGCCATGCTGTTCTTTTCTGAAGGACTTTTAATCTCTTCTCGGGTAACCATCTGCCTCTGATAGCTTCTGGTGGCATCTGGTTGAAACATGAAACCTGAGAATGCATCAGGCAAAGCATGCAGCCTGTCCTGGGGTTTAGTACAGTTATTCAAAGCATGAAATTTTTCTTGCATTTCTGCCATGCTTTTATGAAGTTCAAGGTGTTGTAAATGTGTTTTGCATGTTTCACTCATCATGCTATCTACTGGGTTGGCTTTTATAGGGCAGGAAGCAGTGCTAGTTTCAGATATCCCTTGTGAGCTACAAGTCAAAGGAGATGCTGCTCTGACTTTTGGACCAGAATCTGTGAAAGAGATACAAAACTTTTGAAAGTGATCTAATGGGCTTTCCGTTCCATTATTTGTAGCATCAGCAAAAGCAGAATTTGTTAAGAGGTCAGGTGCTTCCATCAGTTTTACTGTTCTAGTGGTTTTCTGCATTTGCAAGCTATAGGAACTGACATGCAGACTATGAGAACTACAACAGAACTGCTCTTCCAGCTCTGTTTCAGAATGTAAGAGGTTGGATTCTGGTGTTTCAGAAAGCGGTGGCAAAGATATATCATCAGGTGATATACATTCATATTCATCTCCAGAGGGTGTTTCTTCCGCCAGGAATTCGGTCTGTAAGCTATCCTCTTTGGCTGAAGATGACAGCTCTGTATCCTGTGAAACAAGATCCTCACCAGCTGGACAGATAACTGAAATATCAGCCAACATCTTCCTCTCCTCAAACTAGGAGGGGGAAGAAGAGAAAGGAAAGAAGAAAAAGAAAAAACAAAGACAGAGTTATGATTAAATACCTGCCCTTGTCATGCAAAATCTAGCAACAATATTTCTTCTAATTCAGCTTGATGTATTCTGAGAGGTAGCAAGAAATGGGGCAAAAGACACTTTGTCAGAAAATGTTGCAGCAATTTACAGGAATTTCAAACTGTTCAAATAGATCCTAGAAAACATTATTACAACATTTTATTATGTATAAGCATTTATTACAACAGTAACAATAAAACAGAAAGTACCTTTTCATAAAAAAAGAGCAACCTGTGGATTTCCTGTAGCATATGTTTATACGAGCATTTGCAAGGGAAACGTGGTGGAAGAGGAGGTGTGGTTGGACTAATTACATCTAAAGGGGACACAGTTACACAGCAAAAAAAATATATTAACAGCCAAGTTGCTGGACTTGCTCCTTTCAGAAAAAAAGTTGTCAGTCAAGATTTAAATAATTAAGCCAACATCTCTATAACATTTTCTGAACATTTTATATATTTTTTTTTTTTACTTTGCCAGCTGTTAAAAGATCCTCCCAAATATTAAAAGAAAAGAAATGTAAAAATTATTATTATGTTAACTTGGATCCAGAAAAAAAAAAAACAACCCTCTCATCATGTTTCAAAGAGAATTGGGTAGGCATAAGTGCATTAATTTTAATCACAAAGCATCAAAGTCATCTGCTTTGTTAATTACTTCTCTGCCTCTTGATTTTTGTGTGAATGTAATCACATATTCAGATTGATTTCATTTGTGCAAAGGCTCTCAGCAAAGGTGTGCATAATGTTTCCTTAAGCTCCTCTCTCTTTGCTGAGTTCTGTACACAAATATGTAATCTACTAAGCATTGTTTCTATCACCTATAAACTGGGCACGCAAATAAATTGGGTGATACACTGAATTTCATTTCTTTCTAAAGCAGGTCTCTTTGACAGTATCCAGTACAAGAGTGCGGTGCTATATTTATTTTGGTTTTCTTTTTCCTTTACTGCTCTAAATACAATCTAACAATTAGTGCAAAAATTTAAACACCCAGAAATAATAGAACCTCATATGTGCCTTGATTCTTTAGATATGTTAGTTTTAATATAGATGCTTTCCCAAGTTATTACCTTTGTTATTTCAAAGGATTGTGATTCATGCCAGATCTATGAAAAAATGACTGATAGCATGTTGGGATTTTACTGTGTCTATTTTACTAAACAATTCAATTCAGTTGTTAGATGAAGTTCAAGTTTTACTATAAAAATTTCATGAGCATCCCCTGATCTACTCTGACATCTGAGGAGATGGAAGAAGACATTGGGGAAAATGCTGTGGAAAAGAATGACAGGTGAGCTGTGAGTGAGCAAGCTGCCAGATAGGCTTTGGCAGCATGAGACTAAAAAAGCAGGAGGATCAATGTGCCATGAGAAGGTCTAGCCCACTTTTAAGAGGGTTATATTTGAAGCAAATTAATACTGGGAAGGCAGCTTGCAGAAGTACAGACAAAATTAGAGATTGCTGGCCTGCTATCCGAAGCTCTAGTGAGATGAACCTGCTACTTCTTTAAGTGAAGTATGGAGTGATGAAAAGGGTAGAGGCATCATAGCTGCCACAATCCTCATATGATATTTGCTGTTTCGCACACCCTTGACTTCTCTCCTTGGCAGCTGAGGCTCAGGCTGATGAGGACTGACAAAGCTGTGGCTTAGCAAAACAGCTACGGACATCTGCTGAAGTGATTCTCATGAGGGATGCTCTTTGGAGCAGTCACAAAATTTTGAATGAAATCTGGGCTCCCAGTCAATGCTGAAACTCCCACTGACTTGGAATGGAGGTAAGAAAATCAATTAGGTTTCATTTTGGCTCATCAGCATATTACAGGACATTTTCTATTGAACCGAAGGGAATGATATGAGTTGAATTTCTACAAAACATCACTGTTTAATAACTTGCAGTCTATGTTAGTAGTTTGCAAAATGGCATTTTTAGATCTCTAAATCTGTTACCAGTGGATTCTACCTTTCCAAGGCTTAAACCCACGACAATTTATCAGACTATTTTACATAGGAAATTATTTACATTTATGTCCAGGATCCCAAGACTTCAAAATATTCTTTAAGCTAAAGTAATTAATCACATAAAACATAGATCTGGCTTTGGTTTGCCTGTATTTCAAAGATTTCATTTATTCATTGATTATTTGGAAACTTTCATTGTATATTCATGAAAAAAATATGTTTGTCTGGATTTTTCTAATTCTAAATACATACTCAATCTTTTCTTATGTTTTGTGAATTGTCCTCAACATGGATGCAATCTCTACTTTGGATTATTTATGATCTCTGATTTAGAGAATCCTAGCAACTGAAATCCATCTTGAGTGTTTTGAGATGAGGATAAAGACAATTATTTGATGGTGAGTTCTGTTATTTCTTCTGTAGTGTCATACCAATATTAAGCAAATTATATTTGGCATGATGTCCTACTGAACTATTGACAGCTGCAGTTGTGTTCCATCATTCTCTGTTTCCTGTTATTCACACTGTCTTTAAACTGAATCAATCTGCTTGTTTAGTCAGGTTTTTGGTAATACTGTAAATGGGAATATAATCAAAGCTTACCAATACAACAATAGTCCTCACTTTTGATACACAACAAATTAAGGAGTAGAATTCCCTTGAGAGTACACAATGGTGCCCATCAATCTGATCAAAGGTAAATTGATATGAACAACACATACCTGTTTAGTGGCTGCAGGAGACGGAGTATTGCTTCTCTTCTCACCAATGCTTTCTGAATTAGCAAGCAATTCAACTGGTGCCATCTGAAAGAAAAATGTTTTAAAATCCCACTTTTTTTTCCCCAATTAAGACTTTATTAATTCAGCAAATAAACAGCATTTCCACCATTATTTAGTTCAAATTCTGAGCTATATTTCTCTCATAGAATATTACTTATAAATCAAATCTTCTCCTAACTTGTATCTAGGCATCTTAAGAAGTCTAGGGCTCTGGGAATACTATCAGGAGTCTCTACTATTACTTATATGCCCTTAAGTTTTATTTTTAAAGGAGAGAATTCAACAAGTTCTCTTTTTCAAGAAGAAGGACTGGTCACAAAGAGGACCTCTACATTAAGAATACTGTGGTGATAGGACCAAAGGAAAATTAGTAAACAGTTACAAAAGGAATATTTTTTAGAAAAGAAAGAGATATATACAGGTATGTAAAAATACTAAAAAATAAAAATTCATAGGGGAGAATATGTGGACTGGTTAGAAAGGAAAGGGATAACTGAAAAACAATTGACCAAGATTGCACTGATAACACACATCCAAATGGAAGCTTTAAGACTGAAAAACAAGAACCCTTTTAGCAATACATAGAGTCTTTTAAGAAAGAGTTCTGCTTATTAAAAAAACAATTAACTGAACTAACCTGCTGGCTTTGCTCCACTTCTTTAACAGTCTCACATGCTTCTTGACCGTGTCTTTCTTCTTTTTTAACAGTAATCAACTCTTCAGAACCATCAACTTTCTGCCACGTGAAGAGAAAATTAAGTAAGTTTATGACAATAGAAGGTAGGAATTGTTAGCTCTACACTGATTTATGCTCTGTACAACAGAGAAAGCATGGAAGTGAAAATCTGTCATCAGCACAGGTGTAAATTGCTTATGGCAAAAAAATGCAGCAAAACCCAATTAATTTATTCTTGGAAAAGCAATGACAACATTTTTTGAAGCTGACATGATCTTTTCTAAGGCAGGGAAACTATAGAAGACTATAATTCTTCAGTGTATAAGACTGAAGAATTCCAGTGGCTAATCAAGAATTTGAGGAATATTAACCAATTTATACACAGGCTCAGTAAGGTGGAATAAAAGATTAAGTAACACTGTTATATGAAAAAAGACAACTAACAACAATGTTAGAAAAGATATCAGGATTGCAGGAAAACAGTCCTAGGGTGGAAAGAAACATTTGTGAGCATCTATAATCAAAATTTTTTAAATGGTGGAAAGGGAGGAATGTTGTCTAAGCATAAAACATAGAAATATAAATCTGGACAATCATAATGTATTTTATGAAGACTTGATAAGTTATTCAAAACTGTCATGGAAGAGTTACACAGATTTCAAAATACATAATAGTGACGCAAGATAAAGAAAGCCAAAAGCTTTATAGTTACAGTTTTAACTGTCTTCCATATCTTTAGCTGCCCAGCCAAAAGTTATAGTCTTAAACACATTTCTTATAAGAAAGTGCTGCATTATTAATTTGCCATTCTAGCAATAAACAAGTGAAAAATTCCATGTGATCCTTTCAGTCCATTTTTTTTTTTTGAAGAAAAGGTAGTATTTAATTTTGCACTTGAAAAAAATCTAAGTTTTTTTTCTGGCATTTCAGCAGCCATGTAAAATTAGGAAAGATTATGCAATACATTTCCCATTAATTTGTCATGCTTTAAAAATAACAGGATATGAAACTCAGATTATGGTCATAGTATTCCATACAGATGGCACAGACAATTTGCTGAATTATTTATTCTTCATAAGATACAAACATTGACTATTGATATATTCTGGAAATGTTCAATAGGAATATTAGTTTTTAAATCTTAGAACACCACATAATGTAAAAAAAAAATCAATTTAAAATAATTGTGGAACAATATTGTAAAAAAAAATCAATGATTTTGTGGAAATTAGTCAAAATAAGGTAGTAAAATTAGTTTGAAATTCCACTTGTTCTGAAAAAATTATACAACATTGCTGTAGAAAAGATGGAAGGTTCAAGCCCTCTTCTGACAGAACCTGGGACTGTCCTGCACACAATAGTGTTTATGAAATACACAAATGGGGATGGGAAAGGATATTTATGTTGAGGTTTCTATATGGTCACAGTGCAAGACAAAGCCTTCCCATTCACCTAATGATCTTTGGAATTCATGTATATTTTTGGCATCACTTACTCCCTTAAAATGTATTAATGGATAATTACAGTGTTTGTCAATTTTATAGTATAATTCCATCAAAGAAAAGTGAAACAACATCCAGTACCAACAAAAGCAGGATATTTAAGCATCTTAATTTTCCCACTTCACAGAAGAATTAACTCATCAGCTGCTGCTGCATGCAGAAGATTTTTCAGATATTACTTTGAGAATAGAGGGGGGTGGAGTAGAAAGAGTTAATTATCTAGCCCATCACCGGGCTTCCATAATTCCTCCTCAGTTAATATGTTACATTTAATTACACCTACAGCCATTTAGCAGAACATGAAACTAAAAAATGCTGTTCTCTTAAATATTTCTATAAACCCAAGGCATTTCTAACTCAAATTACTTTGGCCTTAACATAACTTATTTTTCAGGATGTCTTTTCCAAGAGGGAGCCAAGTGAGGTTGGTTGGTATTTGGTAACTCTGCAGTTATGTATATTACAATATCAAAGGAAGAAGTATTAAAATAAAAAATGTATTTGCTAGATACTCAAATAGAATTTAACATTTTCTCCTAAAAGTTTCTTGAAAGGAGTAACAGTTTTGAAAGGGGCAAAGAAAAAGAAACTCAGAAGAAATATTTAGTGCTCAACAAGTAGCACTTCATTGATTCATTACAATCATTACCTAAAGTAACAGAAAAGTGAACAATTAAGTAATTCATGCTACCACAGATGATCCTCATTAAAAGCACTGATTCAGACACCAAGCACAATAAATTGATGTAGATGCAATACATTCTCCAGTTTTAAGAGTACCTTTATCTCCTTAAGTTCTCTCAGAGATCTGCACAACCCATCAACAGAATTCATGATTTCTTCATACTTTAATACAGTTTTTTCTACATACTTCTTTCCTTCTTCAATACCTACAAAGGCAAAACAACACAAAAGTAGAGCAGAATGCCTCAAACAGACATGCAACAATCTGTGTAATTTGTTACCCCAAGGTACTACAATAAACACATTTTTCTGTGTTTTGTTCTGCTGGAGGAATTCCGTCATTCATAGTAATGTGCTTTCCCAGTTCATACTAGTTTATTTTAGATGAATCCTCATAGTTTCTGCAGGCCTTTTTTCTGGTTAGTAATACTGCTTTAAAATATGCTGACCTTATAAAGTGTCCCCTAAACTCATTGCTACATTATATAACTAGGAGGCACTTAGCTCCCTGTTATAAGAATACAGAACAAAGGCTGGAGAAGAGTTTTCCAATGTAATGACTTAAAGGCCACCAAAGCAACTTCTTTCTCCTGGTCTTCCTAATAAGCTGTTGTTAACAATCTGTTCTGTCATCTCCTTTCCTGTAGATAGGAATGTTTAAAATATTGAGAAGGCTTAAAAAAAAAAAAAAAAAGCAGAAAGAAGAAAAAAGAAATTATCTGTGCTCTCTAAATAATCTTTCCACTAAAATAAGAAGTATTTAACAGCCCAATTTGACTGCTGAAATTTTTTTAGCTTTACTACTTGAATTGATAGGCTACACAAAATCCCTGTACATTCGGTTTGTCACGTTATCTTTGGAAAAATTAACTTTAAAAAGTATACAAAAATTACAAGTAGGGAAAAAAAAGGCAAAATACAAAACCTTTTGACTTTCAATTTTTTTGGTCAACAATGTTCCAAATCAATCCAATTGCAAATAAAGTATGTAGCAGTCTACATTATTTGCTAATAAACATTTGACAATCAAATCATACCAGTTATTTACAGTTATAATATAAAAAATTAATTCAGCACTGAGGTATATCATTATAATATCCTCTGGCTTCAAAGGCTTGCCTGTTATTGAGAGCTTAAGCCATGAAATCTTAACTCAAAGCTCATGAATATTGCAAGGACATTTTGATTTCAAGGTGAACTCAGGCTGTATACAGAAAACTAAGTAAACACCAGACTGAAAGAGTATTTTCATATATTTACTTTTTTGTAAATACTTGTTCTGAAATCCTTCACCTCTTCCAATTAATACTTTTAAACAACATTTATTATTAAAAATCCATCGTATTTTCATCTTAAATGAACAAATCTAGGAATCTGCTTACTTCCATCCCAAGTTACTGAATTTTGTCCCCACAGTACGTTACCATATCACCTCACCATATAACTGTCTAGCAAGGTCCATAATCTGCTGAATTTTTTCTTCTTGTTCAGGCACTGCAGGTTCAATAAACTTATTGAATTGCTTATAGAGAGTCTCTATTGCTTCTCTTGTTTTGCATTCTGCAGAATAGTTGCCAACTCTAATCACTGTTGCACTCACATCTTCAAACCAAAATTGACACTGAGGGATAAAAAAACCTGCATTATAATGAATTACTGTCTGCAGTTCAAGCTGTTGAAGAATAGACTGGATTATTCTTAGACTTTCCATAATCAGTGGCACACAGTATGTCTTAAATATTCTGACACATTTAACCTGAAAAACATTTGTCCATTACTAATGGTGCTTCAAGCATTAGTAGCTGTTAAATTTTCATCTAATACTAGGCCCACGCTCATCTTACAAGCACGGTGAGGTTATTATTTAATGGTTCTGCAAAAACATGTTTTATTTCTGACTTCTTTCCACCTTGTATGTCAATTAGATAATTTTAAAAAAACCTTCATGTTATTGCCTCAGTTATAGCTGTGTAAGGGCATAAGAGTTCTTTAACATTCTAGCAGATAGGGATTTGGTCTCAGCAACCACTAAAGTCATCAGGAATCTTACTAGTGACAAAATGGGCTTTAGAACATGCTCGTAATAAACATCTTTGATTAACAATACTCAGAACAGAACACAATCTGGTGTTCACTCAGAACCATCAGTATTGCATCATTACAGGAAGCAGCTAAGAATCACCATTTCTAGCCACTGTTGAAATCAGCATTTCAGACTATGCCTACTTGCTGAAAGAAAATTTTGAGTAGAAGGTGATACTTTACACTGAGTTAAAAAAAAACCAACAGCAATCTTAAATTTTAGCTTTAGGAAATAATTTATTTCTGTTAAGTAAGAGGGGAGTTTGAAAATGTAAATATTCAACAAATATTAACAAATTGCTTTGCTAATGGTATATGTAAGAACACACTGATCAGGTCACTGGACATTGAAAACATCTCTTAAACAAAACTTTAGTATTGTGATTCATTATTATGGGAATTTGTGAATTTGTCGTGTACTTAGATTTCTTTGGAAATAAGAACAATGTTATTTCTAAAAATAAAGTGATGACCAGAATGAGCTTGCCCCATGGCAAGAGCACCAACACAATTCAGCAAGAGTAAAAATATTTACAGGAAGTAAAATACTGTTACAGTACTGTCACAAACTTTTTTTTTTTAAAAAAAGACAATTCATGAGACAGTCCTCAGACTGTCATTAAAATGAACTTATGGAAGTATCCAATAAGAAAGATTGCAGTTCAGAAAAAATATTATAGATATATTTTAAAATAAAAACCCCATATTCTTCTATTAAGGATCTGAGTGTTTTACATTTCAGTTCCATAATTTCATAAACCACAGTGGGTACTGTGATACCTGCCTCGCATAATTTGGCGGCCACCAAAGAGGACTTTGTGGTGCTTTCTGTGTTGCCTCAGAGCTTACTCAGAGAAAATGTGCTTCTAAGTATGACCACAGACATGCTGAATCACTGTGGAAGTCATATGGGCATATGGAGGCGGAATATGGTCACACTGCACATTTATTTCCCCCTTTCACCACAAATTTAGAAAGAAACAAAAAACCATTTTACCAATTCATTACTTTTGGAACGTACAGATTAACCTTGAGGCAGTTAAAGCACTTTTATCTGTCCCTGTCCTGGATTGTTATTACAGCCACAGTGGGGCTGGCAGGTTTACTAGTACCTCTTTCATCATCTGCTGCAGATGTTCCATGAGATCCAGATTTTGCTTGTAATCTTCCACAACCATGTTAAAATCATTCAGCTGTTTTTGTAAGTCACTGATAGAGCCCAAGAGAACTTGAACTTTAGCTTTAGGTTCATTTGCAAAAGGGTCAATGACTTTCTTCTCTAAATTATCCATCTTCTTTTTAAGAATCTGTTTAAAAGATATAACAAAACTAAATACCGCTACAAAATGCTTCTATTTTTAGAAATTTAATATTAAAAAAACAGGGAAAAAACATACATACATATTTCTTGTCTTATGTTTTAAAAATTACAAGCTGCTCTCTCAAAAATCAAAGGAAACTGGAGGGCCTCTGCAAAGCTGATTAAAATTTATATAAATTATATTTATTAAAGGTATAATTGAGCCAACTTTTTTCAGCTTAAAATAAACAAATATCTGCAGTAATAAAACATGGTCATGCAAGACTTGCAACTAAAAAGGCCATTGAAGGAACAGTTTCTCGTGAATGCAAAACATGGGTGAGGCTAACAGGATTCTAAGGTGCCAATGAACATGATCAATTCCAGGCAATGAATACAGCCAAATGCTCTGAAGAAAAAAGTTCATCATTTACATGATGAAATCAGAAAGACAAGAGAGTAGCTTGATTCAAGACATGATTATTTTGGGTTTCTTTAAGGAGAAGAAAGACTAGGTCACACAATAGAGGCAAGAAGAATAAAAGATTAAACAGAAAAATAATGGATTAAAAGAGTAAAGTCAGGAATTGAATTAGCATTATTTCACTGAATTAAATGGCAGAATAACAGGAACAGAATAGTGAAAAATGTCTCACTCAATGACAGACAGGGAGGATATAACGAGAAAAATAAGAGGGAAGTGCACAATAAATTTTGTTATGTGCCAGTCTCCTGCAATGTGGTTGGCATAGGATGAGTAATTCAACTGGTGAAGCTTTTACTAAGCCTGGATTTTCTGTTACCTGTAGCTTCTCTGCATATGTATCAACTTGCTGAATCTGTACTTTAAGTACTTTCATATTTCGAGCTCTTTCAGTTTTCTTCATATAGTTAAACTTCAAATTGTTGAATTTCTTTTTGAGATCCTTAAATGATTCTCTGAGCTGCAAGAGTGTAAACATATTTGTTAGTAAAAAAAAAAACCAAAAAACAGCGCACATCAATTTAGGTTTTTTTCAAGAGCTGTTTAATGGACTATTTAAACACTGAAAATTTAACAGAGAAATTAGTAATACTATGCCATTTTATAAAGCATCCTTAGGTCCTCAGAATTTCTTTATAGTAATGGAAACTCATAATCTTGCTAAAACAATGTTTTCGCATTTTGAATGAAAATGCAATGAATATTTCCAGAATAACGAGGGAAAAAAAAAGTATTGGAACAAGAGATGAGATTATTATTGCACAGACAATCCATCAAAAAATCCTCTCCAGGAGTTTCCATTGTTTTTAACTAGAGGTAGATGCTCTGCACATACTTTAGTCCATTTAGTAGAAATGGTAACCATGTAAGTGTCCTCATCCCTTTTTCAAAAGTCCTGCTGCTGAAAAGAAGTTATATATGGGCTTAATTTAATACACTGTGCAAGTCCAAACATTCTAGTACAATTATTCACAGCACACAAAGAGGAATACAGCCCGTTGCAGGATCAAAATGCAGACTGCATGGTTGCCTGACTTTCAAACTGTGCTCTGAGTATGGCAGCAGGGAGATCCTGCCCAACAGATAGAGAAACTGTCTAACTACTGCTGGATGTGCTGTGTGAAAATACTTCTGCCAGGCAGCACCGACTTGTTGCAACAAGCCCAACAATACAGAAATTATTCTTACAATTATATAAATTAAAATGAACTAGTAGGTCCAATTGTGAAGTATCCATGCCTTCAAAGACTTTTCAGATGAACTCATACCAGCTACCTATTAAATCTAGTTATATTAAATTTGTTCTAAAACTCTTTTTTTAATTAGATGGAATATAGCTAGACTTTCTTTATTCTATAGAAAATATTATGAAATGCCAGAATGATAGGAACTTCAATGATGAAGCTCTAGAAAGCTGCAATTTCATTTACACACATATGGATCAGATACATTGCCAATTTACCAGAAAGAGTTTAATGCATATCAAAAAGAAGAGCCATATATGATGAACAGAATTTTAAACCCAGTGTTTATTTACCATAGGAACTAGTTAAAGTATAGGGTTGCTATCTTCTTTATCTTTTGTTTTCAAGTGGCAATTATATTTCCTTTAATATTATCATACAAGTAGGCCTTTAGTAAACCATGTCATTTTTTATTATTAATTTTATATAAATAAGCATAACAAAACTATTTAGATAAACCATTACTAAAGGCCTATGATATTTTTAAGCATAGTTTTCCTAATATTTTTTCTCTGAAAGCTATGCAACTTCCAATTTTATTTACAACTTTAAAAACTCCTTTCAGATATTACTGTTACTTTTTAATTTCTTTAAGCAAGAGATACAACAATCAGATAAGTAAAAAACCTGCTTACAATCAGTATTAATTAATTGATAAAATTTGAAATAAAAGAATATAAAAATGACCAAAATATTGATTTTAAGAATTTCAAATCCTTTAGGAAGATAATATTTTGCTTGTAGGATAATGTATAATAATAATAATACATAAATTATGTAAAAGTATGTTTATTTAAAGACACTGATACAAAGAAATGGAGAAATTCTAATGCCTTAGGATCTACTACTCCAGACACACAAATGTAAAGAGCTTATTTCACCAGTATTAACAAGTTCAGATCACATCTACAATTGGATATCTAAATATGTGTTTGAGGCTTTTTTAATATTAAAAAATCCTACAGACTTCACCCTCCACCCCCTCCTCCTTCATGCCAAAGAACCCAGGGAGTAAAGAAGGCTTATTTTGCAGCCACTGTTATTGGAACAGCTAACAATCCATCATTATTATTATTATTATTATATACTAATGTTAATCCATCAAGGGATATATTTTTCATTTCATCTAGTGGGATGTTGCCACATTATTTCAGCAGTGAATAAACAGATGGTGCTCAGTCAGTGTAATGGAAAGGAGGGGAATTCTATCACTGCCCCTGTGATCTCCAATTACTTTAAGCTCTTTATCCCGCCTAAGTACACAGAATAATAAAGTCTATCTAAAAGCCCTCTGTTAATATAAACACTTCTGCAGTTTTTTATTCAGAAAACAAGAGTGAGTCCTATTTGCTGCTTCAAGTTTGTGGGAAAGAAAAGATGAACAAGATTTTATTTCACTGGCTTGTGCACATACAGACTAGCAGTGATAATTTATAAGGCCAGAGGCTCTCCTCATAGCGGTATGTGAAATTAGATCTCCTTGTTTCAGATATGATGGCTTGTGTGTGAAAGGTCTGCAGCTGCTGTCACTCTTCTCTTTTAGCCTCAGTGGAAAAACCAGATTCAGCTCTGACTTGTGCATCAGACTGCATTTGCACCGCTCCTGTTATCATCAGCAGTTGTACCAAGGACAATGCATGGCTTCCAATTTTTAGAAATCTAAACATATCTGAATTTTGTAAGATTAAATGAGAAATACTGAAGGGGCTGTTCATCCAAATATGCTTCAGTGACTTCAGCCCACTGCTTTAATGGGACTTTGTACCTTGTCTATTGTGTCATAGTCTTTAATCAGGCAGCTGTTCTAACTATAGTTGCCCTGTCACAGGTGGAGAATGATAGTGGAGGAGAGGGGTTTAAGTACCAATTGTTTAATTTTATCACAGGACCACAAAAAATAAATGGAAAAATCAAGTTATAAAATGCTTTAAGCATTTTTTGTTAACAGAACCATTCCAGTAAATGCTTTGATTGCTGTGTGAGCCACTCTAGAAACTTCAAAGTTGTTAATCCCTCACCTTTCCCTTTCTATTCATATAAAAAAATTTTTGTAGCATCAATACTCAAAACACCCCAAAAAGCAGGTTGCTGAAAACAGGTTTTCAGTTACAAAGATTAAGAAACATTAAAACAAAAAGTGGGGGGAAAAAATGCTGTTCAAGTCATTAATGGCTACTTGATTCCTGGGGCACCAATCAGAATAAATTACAAGGTGAAAAATGTGGCTATATATCAGTTCCTCCTGACCTGTAAATAAAGACAATTCATTACCATTTATGGTTAAAATTCATTTCCAGTCATATCTTTCCATAAGCATATAAACAATGACATGGTGAAGAAGAAATGAGATGCCTGGGAAGAGCTGTGAACCTGCTTCAGGATCTGTTGCTCTTTTGTAGCAAGTTTTACATGGACGTGCATAAATGTTATTTTTAAAGTGATCACCTAAAAAAAGGCTTTTTCATTGCAGAAGCTACCACGGGTGATTAATGGTGTCACTTATAATCCCCTGAGCAGGTCCAGTGCAGCATTCCTCTATCCAATCTATCAGTGTACCCGAGGCTGAGCTCACAAATGCCTGCAGTGTAACACAGTGCAGGTGCAGCTCTTCAGGGGCTGCTGCCCAAATTACCTCGTGAAAAAAGAAGCCCCAGCTGGCAAATACAGATCCCAAAAATGAGCTTTCTTCATACTTCTCAGAGGATATATACACTTATTTTTGCCTTTTCAAATTCTCTTTAAATTAGAGAAGGCACAGAAAAGGCATGCATTTACTCTTGTCTCCTCCAAGGCTGTTTAAAACTCATGCTATACATTCTTGTCTGCAAATTTTAGTATTTGTTTCCTTGTTTCTTATAGAAGCACCAATATCTTACAAACACAGGCAACTTGCTGTGTCCTCTAAGGATCTCTTCAAACACCACTGAGTCCTAAGCCCTAATTCACATGCTGTATTTACACATTTAAATTAATCACATCAAACATAAATTAATCTAAGTATTTACAGCAGAATCCCAAATATTTTCAGTCAGCTTTAAACTGAATTATCTAAACTATAAACTAAATTATCTGGTTGGCTGTTTACTATGTGACAGCCAAAAACAGCTGCTGCTTGCTGCTGGCACAGGAAATATTTATTCGCTTAGACACAGTAGATAGTAAATAAATTGTTAGTTTAGACAAGTCTAGCAATATTCATACTAGCATACTAGCAATTCCTGATGAAAAAATAGACAGAATTTAAAATACTGAAGGTAATACTCATAAAAAAGCAATAAAAATAGAAAAATAATTCTTCTTAGAAGGGAGTCATATTTGGTCCCAGAACCAAAGGACAGAAACAAGAGATTGTTTTATTTAACAGGATGTGTGAATAGGGCCAGCCTCACATACAGACTCCTTTTCTTTAGCAAATTTGCAGGGTTTTCAGCAAAAACCTAGAACACTTTATTTCAAACCACAAATACTCTGAATCTGCTATGACACTGTGAAGTATAGTGGGATTTCTTGTTAAGATACTTAATGCTTCATTCTCTTCTACAGCATGGTTCTCTCTGCCAGAGTGCTTCTCCTAACCACCTCCTCTTCCTGCCACGTCTTACCATCAGACAAGGAGAAACAGAAGACCAATGTGAAACACCCTCAGCTTATAAGCAAAGTGTAACTCATGTTCAGCGAAACCTTCTTTGTGAAAACATAGTTTCATTTTCAAATTATCTTTTCATGAAAATGGATACTTTTCACAAACACACAAAAGACTTCTTAAAAGAAAAAAAAACCAAACAATAATTTTCTCATTAAAAAGAGCTGGGAAAAAAGTCTCAGTCACCTCTTTAGTGATTTTCAGAAAATACAGCCTGTCTTTACATAGGTGTGGATTTACTTAGCAAAAGATAAAGATAAGAATATATAACTTTCAATGTCCTGTATTTTTATTACATGTGCTTCGTGCTATAGGGAACATTAATGTGAAAATCCTTCCAGCTCAGAATCCACCTTTTGTACTACACAGATGCAGAGAAGTAAAATCTACAGAACATCAAATATAGATCCCATCAGCCTCTTACTTTAATGTATCAGTCTGGGAAAGGTAGTTCTTTGAAGTGTTTTTCTAAATTAATTTTTAGAGACTTCTAACTAATGTAGCTTTCTAATTTGTGAATTCATTTGTATTTGGCCTACCAAGATGTTACAGTGATAGTCATATTACCTAATTCTTTCTAACTTTAGTTCTATAATGCTAATTCTAATCTCTTGTGCCCATGAACATTTTCTTTCCTCCTAGCAGTTTTTCAAGTATATAATTTGTTTCTAAAAAAATATTAGTACTAAATTATTCAGAACATTTCATTGAAATACTGAAAATTCTTTACAATGTCCTGACAACCACAATATGTACAAATTCTACTTTTGTTTGAAACTTAGCTTCATAAGAAAAAATTATGAAGACTCATGTTTCAGATGAAGCTGACTGAGCTGAAAGCCAAAGAAAATATAGCTGTTCTATTTCCAGTCCTCTTGGTACATTGAAAGCATTTTATTGCCAGCCCAACAGCTTGATAGAATCCTGAACAGCAGTGCCATGAAACATAGATTACTGTTGCTGCTGCACTGATCCAAGGTTGCTGCTAAAATGAAAGTCTGTTTTTCTGTATAGATATGAAGCATTTAGGGGAATGGTAAACAGTAATGTATATTATAGAACACAACAGCTCTTTTAACAGTTGTTCAATGAGTTGGGATTCATGTCATTTACCTCATTTATATCCTCTTGAGTGGTGCAGTGCTGGAAATACTGTGACAGCTCTTTCTCATACTTATCAGCTCTGGAACTCCAGTTTATGCTATCACATTCAAATCTAGCAAGTTCTTGCTTCAGATTCTTTACAGAAACATTCAAGCAATTCTAATGAGGAAAGAAACAAATTAATCAGTCGCAGGAAATGTATTGATTCAACCAATCCAAAATGAAAATCATTGAGGCAGAAGGCACACAGCCAGCCACAATGGGCTAGAGCAAACTACTAAACCTCCACTGGAAGTAGAGCAAGGACAGAGCAGTTTCGGTCACCGGTACTCTGGGGGGTAGTTTTGGGTCAAAGTCACAACCTAAACATGGTGTCTTCTCTGAGCAAAGAGGGAGTGACCTACTCCAGTCCTTTGCCAGCTGGAGAACAGCTCCTTTCAGCCACCCATCGCTTTTTGGTGTCTGAAGAGCAGACTGCCAACATGAAGGATCTATCCAACTCATAAGGAAAGCCTTGCTTTCTTAGTAAGTGAATGAATAATGAAAATTCTTCCCCGAATAAATAATTCCTTTCTAAAACTATATCCATCCTGTCATGCAAATCAGTCTTGAACCCACTGATAAGGCAACACTGTTACTACATTTTCTTTTTTGTTCTTATGCTATCCTTTCTTTATAGAACAAATCTGCAAAACAACCCTGTCAAAATAGCAGGATTCTAATGTAGAGATCTAAGGAATTGCCATAAGGGCCTTGTACTTCACAAAACTAAAGTAAATTATGGCTTGCAGTTTTTTCTAAGCAATGATATTTTAAAATTAATTTCCTTAAGGCTCACTCTGTATTTTTCTCAGAATAGTAATACATATTTGCACATCTAAAATTCAGCCAGATAAATCCAATAATCTTTCATATTTATCCTTTATTTCATAAATCATTCTGCTTATACTCACAGGTTGCTGCACTGCAGACAAAATATCCACTCCCTGGGTAATAAGTAGAGTATATAGCTGTCTAATATGTGCATGTTTCTCCTGAGAGTTCACAAGGTAGGCTTTGGCCTGGTGCACATTTTCAGGGTCCCCATATATTTCAGGAATATCCAGTTCTCCTAATTTTGATAGACATTCCAGCTGAAATATACAAAAACCAAAAATAAGTGTCTGTTTAAAATAACTCTTTTTTTCCTTACCCTTGAGTTTAAGTAATTAAAATTGGTTTCAGATCTGAGTTTTAAATTCAACTGATTCATGCATTTTAGATCCAAGATTTTAATTGTGATCACCAGGCTGATTAATCTTATTTCTCTGGTGAAAAGAAAAAAAATACAACAGGAACCAAAACCAAAGAGAGTTTAACTACAATGGGAAGAATGTATATTTTAAAATGCTATACTCACTTCTTTTTTAATGTGATGGAATTTGACTGTCTTGCTGAAAATCTCATCATATTCTATCATTGCATCCTTTACTGCTTGATGGAAATGAATAAGCTCACTTATTCTCTCAGTATTCTCTTTCACAGGAAATCCTTTCTGGCTTGGTAATTCCAATAATTTTGTTAGGTACTCGAGCTCAGCATTCAGTTGCTAACAAAAATCAGAGAAGTTACTCAATTTGCACAAACATTGCAATTTTTCATTTACATTTGTTGAAATAACCACCTAAATTGCCTTGGGGAGAAGTCAATGCCCTGCACTTTAAAACACTACATTCTGTACTTTCTGATATGCACAAATCTCAGCTATCACCCAGCCTTGCATAAAAACTAGTCAAACATAATTAAAGGGCAATGGCAGAGTGGATTGCTCAAACTCAGAGTCAGTATTCACAGGAGGTGGAAAGGCCCTATGATGTACCTCAGCCTCTGACCTACTCTAAATTCAAAAGCTGATGCTCCCCTCGTACTTCCACCACCCCAGTTCTTGTGTGTCCCTTGAATACACAGCTAACACAGCACAAGACATTCTCTGGACACCGAAGGCAAAATCTCTTCACCTCTACCTTATAAACTCACACAAACATTCCTCCTGGAAAGCTGTTGTGAAACATAAAACACTTCAACCCCAGAGAGAGTGTCTGGCATCAATGAGGGTGTGGATCTTTATGGGACCAAAAAGAGATTTTGATGTACCCTTCACTCCACTAGTATGGTTTCTCACCTCACTGTGTGGTTTCATTTGGTTCAGCTTTTTCTGGAGTTCCAAAATAATTAAAAGGTCACTTCCAAGGTCAACTGGTACTGCAAGCTGGAGGGCCTCTTGAAGAATCTCTAATCCACAGGTAGTCTAAAAGATAATCAAAAAGTTCAGCATTTCTAACTGTAATAAATTTAAAAAAAACCAAATTTAAAGTCAAAGCTAAACTTGTAACAAAACCTTCCTCAAACCAGGCACCTAAATGCTGTCAGTAAAGCCTCTCTGTCACAAACCTTCTGAGTGACAAGGGTGATAAGATATCTTTGAGACAGCATGAAAAAGCCACTCAGAGGCCAGGACTGCAGGACCACAGACACACGATTTCTGTGATAGCAGATGTGCTGCTGTACTGCTGGAGTGGCACCAGAGATACAGCAGCTAAAAGCCTAGCTGCTGTTTCTGCTTCTGCTACTAGCCCAGCTAGTGCTTCTTCTAAAGAACGCTGCACACTCTCCTTGTGCCAAGAAGGTTTCAATCCTCCTTCTGCATGAACCACTGGACTTCAGTTTAGTAACTATTAGTACACCGTGTAGTTCAGCAACTGTTCAGTCTCCAAAAAATGATGTTTTTAAAAAGAATTAAAAAAAAATCACTGCAAAGCATTGATTAAACTTCATTAAAACTTAGAATTTGAAGTGGAGACTTGGACTTGTATGCATTTGAGTGAGGGAAAAAAAGATCAAAAACATTTCATGCTTCCTGATGACTAACTGACAGAACAGAGAACAAAATATGGACAAGATTCATACCTTACTGATCATCACTCTTAAATAATAGTTAATGAGAGAGCCACAGAAAAGCCAAACACAATCTAGAAATATTTGCCACAGTTGCTTTCTTCCTAGCTATTTTACTTACGATTTTTAGCTGTTCTTTAAATATCTGGCACTGTTGCTTGATGGGTTTTACTTGAGTAATTTTAAAATTCCAGATTGCCCAAAGATCAGTCAGCTCTTTCCTTTCTTTATTCAAATTAATAATGATATCTTCTGTTACTTTTATCGATTTTTCTACTTCTGATATTAAACTCTCATTTACCTGGCAAATAAACAGACACATTTTTTTCCATGCATATTTTTATACTTCAAAAGTTTATAAAACTTCATAATTTTAAATAAAGCTTAATAAAACCTCAACTATTCTAATGTAACTTTTAATAAAAATTTTCTACTTTTGAATACAGTTTTCCCTTAATATTGTCTAGAAATAGGCACAGATTGACAGAGTTTGTAAACTGAGGACATACAAAGCTGGTGTTTAAAACATAGAACATAATTCAGTAATGACTGAATTATAGCCATCTGATGTCTGTTTCACACTCAGACAAAATAACAGAATTTCTGACCAAACAGAATTACCCAAAACGGACTTTTGGAGACGAAATAGCAACTGGAAAAGACAGCAGAGGAAGAAAAGACCACCCCTTTGTGTTATAAACAAAACAGCACTGAAGCATAGGTGGGCTAAAGTGTTTAATATTTGAATATTTGGTATTTTTTCCTCTTTTCAGTACAACTGCTATGAGAAATACCAGAAAACTGGGTAATGTAATTTCTGGTTTTCTCATTTGATTATTTTTTTTTTCTAGAGAAGCTGTTTTTGCAAATTACTAGTATGATCCGTATCTTCCAGATATTTAAAAGCCACAATCTGAGAGTATCATGGGAACAGAGTAGTAGAAAATATGGTGACAACATATATCCAGGTTTTAGGGAGGTAATGTTTGAAGATGTGTCAAGATTTTAAGTGACTTCGGCATTACTCTAAGTGTCTTACCTTTGCTTGGCTGCATCCAGCCGGGACACACACCGTGCAGCCACACTAACAGCCTGAGCACCTTCCCTCCCTCAGCTGCTTTTTCCAATTCACCTTACATCCTACTCTAGTTTACCAACACCACCTCCCCCTTCCCAGCTTAATGTCTAACTGCTCCCCAGTGTGTCCTATAAAAGCAGAAAGAACAGCTGGGTATTCAGGCTGACCTCGTTAATTGGATTACTTTAGGAGCTGTAGCTTAGGGAATGATTGCACATCTCAAACCAGCACCTCATGAAGTGTTGTTGGAAAATTACACAGGGATGCCTAGGCAGTGTAGTTGTTGGACAGAATGTAAAGACACTGGGAAAGATTGTCTGCAAGGACAATGGAGACTAACATCCATTTCCTTAGAAGAATCCATACAATCAGTTGGTAAAGACTCCCTGCCTCTTAGTGGAAGTAAAATAAACTTAATATTTTACTTGTGTATATGCTGCTTTCCAACATGAAAAAAACAGATATGACAATGCATTACATTTGTATGCACGGACTGTGTCCATAAGGGCTATGTCATTGCTAACCACAAAACTTTTTATATTACCATAAGCACTCAAATACTTTCTTCTTCTGAAAGTACATATCAGCATTAGCCCCTTTAAAACTAGGTACACAATCCATCAGGCATAGAAGTAGGATTGGACCTCATCACAGGCAAGTATAAAATATTCAGTATGGTTTATCAGATCATACTCACCACATTTACTAGATTAAGAAAACAGCAACCCAAATTTTGGGTGGAAAAAGTCTTCTTTATGGTCTGTTGCCACTGCGTATTAGCTGACTCTATTGCAATTTTATTTTCAGTCTCTCTGTTTGTTGATAGGGGTTTTGAATTATAGAATTCCTTCAGATTTTTAATATCATCATTCACCTATAGAAAGACATTAAATAAATATTTTTAAAAATCAAACCTTGAGGTGCTATGATAAGAAGTTATAGAGCTATGATAAATTTCAATAGCACCCTCTGAATCTTCTCTTAAGATCTATGAGTCCCTAAAATATTTACAAACACCAAATAATAAAATAGTTTTAAATAACTTTCCCACTGGTAGATGGCAAGCAGAGAGGTGGCAGCAATTAGCTCAATTTCTGTCACATATCCTTACATGGATTTTATGTACCAGTATATCAATGCACTGGTTTTCACTGATCTGCTTAATGTGAAGTAACTGAAGCTAACAATAATCAGTAGACATAATACAATATTTTTTGTAGTTTATCATGCAATAAAAAAATAAATATGGCTAATTTTATCTGATAGGTCCCATTCCATCCTCAATTTTTTTCTAAATATTAACAAACAGCTACCATATTATAGAATCTTAAAATGGAATCCAAATCAAAATGAAAATTAACTATCCTGAATACCATTAGCTACCAAAATTATGTTGGTATTTAATTGATTTTGATTTGAACTAGAGCTGGTTTTCATCACATTTTTAAATTGGCTTGCCAGTGGGAATAGTGCAAGATAGCAACAAAGATCCCTATGAACATATCATGGGACATTTTTAAAAGTTATATGCAGCAAATCAGTAAATTTAATATTCACAATACCTATAAGGAAGCATTTTTCATCATGTATATAGTGAGACTGCACATGTGGAGAGGAGAAAAATCTAAATAAATTACAATCCTTCCTACAATGGATGCAAATTTTTCAATTGTAAGATTTTTACAGTTTAGTCAGAGAATAAATAAGTAATCCATACCTCTATAGCTGATTGTAAAAAGGCCACATAAGTTTCCAGAATTTCTAGCTTTGAACTAATATTTTTTTCAATTTTTTTCAGCTCTTTATTCAGAAAGGCAGCTCTGCTAGAAAAAGCCGCCACCTGCTCAGGTTCCAACTCTTCCATATTTTTGATGATTCCCTCAGCTGCTCTCAGTTCACATGAAGTTTCCTTTGAAGGTACAAGCATAGAAAAAAAAAAATGTATAATGACTGGAAAGGACTTGTGACTATTGATATCACATTGTTAATTTTCATTAGGATTGCTTTTTTATGTATAGTTTTATTACTTTTTTGAAGAAGAGCTCACAATAAGAGACTAAATCACAGAAATATCTATTTCTTTCCTAAAAAATGATAGGTGCGGTTATTGAAATAGTTATTTTGAAAGCTACCATATCACATTCCCCAGAAGGAATAGTTAGAAGAGGTGTGGAGTTATAAGAGTGTATATATCTGTCAGAGCAAAGAAGATACTGCAGCAAACAGAAGTAACACCCTGACATGCAAAATTTTGGCAGAAAATGCACTTAGAACTATAATAAAGTCTTGAGGAATAAAAATATGTTCTTGCTTATCTGCTGAGATTTTAATATTGTTACTATGTGCTCTTCAGAATTGTTTTAATGTGAATTTCCACAGGTACTGTACAGATCTATCTCTTGGACCCCATAAGCTGTTGCCTGAAACAAGAAAGAACTCTGCAGAAGTAATGGAATTTTAAGTACTGAAAATATGTAGGATACTCCTAAAATACATGCTGACAAGTTGTTCAGCTTAGGCTGAAATTTGCACCTATGCCAAGGCTATGGAAGGCATTCAAGTGGTTTGACCCCACTTCCAGGTACTGCAGGGCTGCTGTGGGACTGGGAAAAGCCCTGGATAAAAGCAGCCCCAGTGTGGCAGAGCCGAGTGCTGCAGGGCTCTCATCAAATGGCTGCACTCCTAACATGAACAATGGATCTCGTCAGAGCTCTCATCACAGCTTCTCTAAATGGGAACTACTTCTTTTTTTGCCAATTAATCCATAATATTTGGCACAATAACCACAAGAAGGTTTTCCTCTGACTCTGGCTGTCTAGACAATTATTAAACCTGGTGCCTCACGGAGGAGTAGCAAGCCACATTTGAAGAGTCTTCCTATCGAGAATTGGTACAAGGATCCTGAGGCAGTAACAAATAACACAGTGAGACAGAGACAGTGGAGAAAGCCACTGATTTAATGACTGTAATGTTATCTGTGGTTTTGTTCATTAACTACAGTTTTAAAACAAACCACAGATCTATTTTCTTTACAAGAAACTCTCAGACTCTGACCTTATTTAGAATTGCATACAGGAAACATTTGTTTCTAAAAGCACTCAACATTATTTAAAGGTTTTTTACCTTTGTTTGTTTAGCCAGTTCAAGGTAGTTGTTCAAAACTCTTTCTGACTCAGACAAATACGAGCCAATCTCCATCCCAACTGTGAGCATCGGGGCGAGTTTTTTAATTGATTGCGACACCTTTATTTGAAAGTATTATTCACATGGTTAATGTATATAAGCAGACATCAAAAACCAGTATAAAATACCACTTTTTATAGAAAAAAAATGAGGCAACACTTCTCTGTTGGTGTATAGATTATGTTTCTGGGCATAATGTCATGGTTTAAACCCAAATGACAGCTGTACCACACAGCTGCTCACACACACTTCTCAACTCCAAATGGTGGGATGGAGAGAAGAAATGAAGAAAAGGTAAAACTTGTGCTTTTATACCATGTATACTCAGAGAAAGATGGGAATTATATAAGAGAAGACAACTCTACTATTTCTTCGACAGGCATGATCAAAACCGGTTCTTGTTTGCTCTCATTCTATTGACAGTGCTTTCCTTTACCCTAAATATCTGAGGCTTGTGATTTCAATATGGCACAACTGCATTATAATCTTGCTATTATAGCCCTGGCAGAAATATTTTGATTCTGTTCCAGAATCAAAAAGCACATTTAAAGCTTCTCTGACAGAGCAAGAGACCTATTTTTGTGCAGATACATGTACAGAATTCCCTTCCACTGTCACTAGGATATTATGTATGCACTATAATAACAAAACAGATTATGAAGAGCTCAGGCAGATGACGCCAGACACAACACACACAGTTATTATTAGACATGTGAATTTACATCTAATATTTTTCTTAAGAACTGGCTGCCAATTGAGGTTCAAACTTTATTATATGAGGCTGAGGGGCAATTGAATTTGGCACCAGATTTCTTGGGATACTTTAGAGAGTTGGGATTAAAAGTGTATTGCTCAGTAACAATATAGCAGTAAGCACTCTTTACTGCAATGACAATCGTGTTATGGCACAATGTTCTCTAATGCAAGGCTGGGAACAAGTTCATTGGAACAAATGGCACATTGAAACCTTATGTTCAAATTAAGGTTTATATTTTAAGTAAAAATTGCCTTCATAATTTAACTTTTAAGCTAAAATTCACAACACAATAGTGACATAATTTCTATAAACATAAATTGTATGGAAAACGGCAAATTTGTAGCAAATTAAATTCACATTTGATTGATAATGGTTCATTATAAACATCATGCAAATACAAAATATCAGATTGCAGACTTAATAATTCAGCCATTAAATTTTATTTATTTTTCTCATCTACGCTCCTGGTTTCTTTCACATGAACCTTGCTAAAAGACTATACTTTTTAAAATTTGAATTTACAGACGGAAACTTATTTAGGAGCTATTTGTCTATTCCATCTTTGACAAGTCATTTAGAAGGTCTGTAGTACTATATGACATTCAACCATTTAAAGAAGGTTGTCATGTCCTTGATGCATCAATACCTTAATTAACAAAAGGATTTTTTTATAGTGAATAGGATCTAGTCTGCTTCACATTTATTGAAAATTTGCTGTGGTTCAGTTACTGTGCTTATTAAACCTCAATTCTTGCCACACTTTAATTTTTATCTTCAGACACATAAAACAGAAGACAGAAGCAGTAAAGGAAACCTGGTTATGGGTCACAGGACTGATTGCTCACTTTTCTGAAAGAACAAATTATAATAGTTCATTATCCAAGCAAATTCATGCTTAATTGAACATCACTAGTAAAATGTGCTTGTGGAAATGGCTCAGTTTTACAGAACAGCTTTTGGTTTCTTTGTGTTGATAAGAGCATTAAGCATTCTAACTGCAACTGTTCTCTCTCTAAAAAACTTAATATTATTTGATTCAACTCCAATATTCACTATAGCTAAATTATGGAAATACAATGCACTGTTCATGAATACACTAAGAAGATGTGCTACAGTGAGGATAATAGCCATCACAAGATGATCAGAATGCTGGAGCACCTCTATGGTGAGAGGCTGAGAGCTGCAGTTCAGCCTGGAGAGCAGGAGGCTTTGGGAAGTCTTTGTAGGAGACCCTTGCAGTACCTAAAGGGCCCTATAAGAAAGCTCAGGGGTGACTTAGAGTGACAGAACAAGGGACAATGGCTTCAAACTGAAACCAGGTAGGTCTAGATTAGATACACAGGAGAAATTCTTCACTAGGAGGGTGGTAAGACACTGGCACAGGTTGCCCAGAGAAGCTGTGGCTGCCCTGTCCCCAGGAGCATCCAAGGCCAGGCTGGATGGGGCTTTGGGCCACATGGTTGAGTGGAAGGTGTCCTTGCCCATAGCAGAGGGGTTGGAATGAGATGTTCTTTAAGGTCCCTCTCAACCTAAACCGTTCTATGAATCTATGATGTACCTTACTCAGATGATCTTCAAGCGAGGCAGTCCACTGTTGTTTCTTCAAAGTAAATTCTTCATAATCTGGACACTGGCTGTTTAATTGATCTACTTTTTTTTGAATATATTCCATCATTTTCTGAATTCCAGCCACCCAAGAGCTAAAATAGAAAAGTAGAACTGTCATTTATTTCTCTTTTTTTGCTCAACATAAAGGATGATTATGATTAAAAAAAAAACAATACTCATTCTGTTGATTATTATGATGAGTAACTTATAAATTTTAAATTGTTACCCTTAAAGAAAAATAACCAAGAAAAATATTAAAATTAATCCAAATTAAATTGATAATTAGCAAAACACAGGAATGAAATTTCCAAACAAATAATTTGTCACCAGTGCCTAAGGTTGATACACAAGACAGATATATTAATCCTCACGAGACACATAGCCTGATTCACTGACAAATAGCTCATTTCCCTTTTCACTCTAGCTATACTATCTAAAAACTAAAATGACAAATGGAAGAGCTTAAAAGGGAAAATATATGGCATACCAGTTCTATTTGAAAAAATATGTTTTCTTTGGATTCTAAAATATTTTAGTGTTTTTACAGTAGCTGATAAAAAGAATGCCATATACATTCTAAGTCAACCTCTCCTTAAGGATGTTATTTTAATGGGAGAAAAATCCCCACCAATTAATAAAACAGTGGCTTGCATTATAACTTAAACCATAATTCAGGGAAGAAATTCAGAACCTGAATACTTGAGGCATTCCACTTTAGACAGTAAAGAAGTTACCTCATACAATTAAGAACTTAAATTTTGATATTAACCCCCTCTCCCCTCACATCAAGTTATTTCCTACTTAAATTTATATTAATCATAAGAATTTCTGTAAAATTAACATTTTCAAAATAATTTTTTTTTATTACTTTAGTTCCATCAGACACTTATGTTAATACCTGTGAGAATCTGCTTTATTAACTAAAGTTCGTCCCTTCTGCATGGTAGTTGCTGTACAACCTTTAATTGCTTCCTGCAATTCCTTGTACTTCAGTGTCAATATAGGTAAGTGTAAGCCTTCTGAAATAGAGATTTTATGGTAATTCTCAATACTTTCAAGACCATCAAGTACCTGAAGGAAAAAAATAAAAACATATGTTAAAACATATCAATATTTCTGTTGGAACCATAATTGGAAATTATCTGTTTTTTAAACTTCTAGAAATGATTTCAAAAAAATATACCTGAAAAAAATACAAGACCATTTGGTCTTTGGACACTCTGAAATATAAACTTTTCTAAATAGTCTTCTAACAGAAAGATTTTTGGGAAAAAAGATTTCATTATTAACAATACTGGTTATAATTAGCTCCTGTGGAGACCACTGCAAGTATAGGCATGGTTTCTGGTGCTCCCAGAAAACAACCTTAAAGCCCAATTCTTGGCAAAAAAAAAAAAAAAATTCCCAAATACCTTATTTCCAAACCAAGCACTGAATATACTTAAAGGAAATAAAAAAGAGAATACATTTTTGAACAGATTTGTCATTTTGGATATAAGTTTGAGGCAAAAAGTCATGTGAAAAGGGTAATTGGGTTTGAATTTTTTCACTTCAAATTGCTTAGCCTACTGTCTGCATAATCCCACATCCACCAGCCTTCAAGAGCACACTAATAGTTTCCTTGTCAGGTTATTATAACACACTTGGCTTCTTACCTACCTTGCCAGCAGCATGAAAGAAGTCATTGGCCTCTTGCAGCAGGGCTTTCCTTTCTTCCATGTGGGAGCACACTTCTTCTTGCAACAGACAGATTTTCTGATTTGAAAGTTTTAGATGTTCCTTTTCTGTATAGTCCTCTGAAAGCAAGATCCTAAATGCTTCACCTTCTAATTGTTCCACAGTGTAATTCCATTCCTAGTGGGGAAAATTCCACTTTAGTCAACTACACATAGAAAAATAATATACTGAATGGTAATAATATAAACATTGGAAAATGTGTATTTTTATAGGCATGAAAGCTATCATTATTTAAAACAGTATTTCTACTAGGACGGGCTCCCCAGCAAATAATGGTTTTAGTGATAAGAGTTTCCAGCAGTGGCATTCTACCTTTTTGACACAGTTTGACAGGCAGAAGCAGCAGTTACTAAGGTGTCTACTGAGAAATATGGTCGGGATAACAAAGACAAAAACCTCCTGGTAAGACCACACTCTTGTGGCAAACAGCCCTTCAGCTCACCTATTTAATCAAGAATTAATTAAAATATTGCCTAGAAAATAGCTGCTTGCAGTGACAGAATTTCTGCTAAGAGATATCTGGTAATCCCTTCAATCAAATGACCCTCCCTTACAGCATGTTGTGCCATCATCCTTGTCATTCTCCATTGCACAGTTTCCCTGATTTCCTACACAAAAATCTTAAGTTCACTCAAAAAATATCTCTATCTTATCTGATCATGAATCTTTCTAGTGGCAGAGACAGAAGGAAAAAAAGGAAGATTACGCTTAAGAATTCCAAGCCATAGAGTCAGAAACATTTCTGACAATTGAGCCAGGTACTTCAAAACTAAAGCACTTTAAAATGGATTCTGCTGAATCAGTACAAGTTTGCATATAGGTTTTTGGTCTACGTTGCAACATTTGGAAGCACATTTAGTTAATTATAACTGATTGCCTATTTAACTCCTCTTTCTTTTTTCAACTATTCACACTGAACTGACTTGTGCTTCTACTGTAGTGACCTAAATATAAATCAACTTCTGGAATGTTATTTCTCTGCTGTGGTGAATACTCCTACCTTTCTGCCATGGAAAGATGAAGCAACAGTAAAAAGCTGTAGAACTAAATTATTGCTTTTTTCACTTTTTAAATATTAAATCTATTTTTAACTTTTAGTTAAAGTTAACTTTATAGTATTACCAATTCTAAAAAATTGTTATCATAAAAAAATTCAATAGCCTTAAAATGTTTCAATCAGATTTTGAGGGCTTTAGTAAGACGATTAATTTCATATATTTCAACAAACCTATCTTTATTTTATTTTTGTGTTTCTGGTTGTGCTTCAATATACCTGCACTGTGTGCCTAAAAAGATGCAAATTTGTCTCACTCATTTTAACTCTTCTTTCCTTCCATAAGGGAACGTGGAGGAAAAGCCTTCTCAGATATTTTTAAAGTTCATCTCTTCCCCAGACACGCATCTGAAGGCCAAATCCTGCCCACTGTATTTCCTTCTATGCTTCTTAAAATACTGCTGGTTGAGAATATTCTGTAAAGAAATTGCTCATTTTCTCAAGAAAATACTCCAAAAAAATCCCCTAAATGTCTTGACTTGGATACTCTCAGCTTCCTACTGAAATCAAGAGAGATGAATCGTGAGAACAAGAAAAGCAATTTTTCTTTTCATTGTATCTATTACTGATAAACAGCTATAGCAAAATCTTTCTAATTTGTAAAACTTCTTTTTCAAATTAAAATAATGACCATTGCAGATATCTGGATGCAATAATCTTCAACCTGTACTTTTAATTAAGTGAAACTTTGCACTCTATTATTTAATGCACAGTTCCCCTTTCATAAAATCCTTTGTCTCTCTATCCTAAGCAATATTAAGCAAGAATGTGGATTTTAGGCATAATAAATCACAGTCTGCTGTGCTGTATTTGTTACTTTTTACCTGACAAATTTGTCTTGGGGGGAAACAATAGTAAGGAGGTGTCCCTATAGACACAGCTGAAGTGACTTGATTTCCAATTATATCAGCGCTGCAACATTGTCATTTTCCAATATTTTCAGCTGGAATGACTGGTATGAATTGCATGGTCAGATTTTAATGATAATTTTAAATGTAAGTTTTACTTACATTTAAACATATAGATATTTATAATAATTAGAAAACAAGCCTGAAGTCAGGCACTTTGAACTTGGATTAATAATAATTTACCACAAAAATCGCAAGAAAAGTGCAGCTGAATATGTGAATCCTCATTTTGCTATTATTTTTATTTGTATCATAATTAAAAATAATATTTTATGCAAGAATGAAAATGCATATGTAACATTTTTACAAGTGGAAAGAAAATTGTCCATATTTAGCTTAGAAGCAAATATGGAAAGACAGAAGTTCTGAATTGTTCCAGTGTATTATATGTTTAAATTATAATTATAGCAGGCAAGACTTATAATAAGAAAATGAATCAACTTACAGTGAAATTATTCCATGTAAGAGTATTTCATTGTAACAAAATTCATAAATTTGTTTGGTACAAGATGCCCAACAGCAGCTTTTAGGTGATCTAAAATCAGATATTAAACTTTGCCTTGTTTATATTGAGGCAAGGCTCATCTCTAAGTTTTCACACAAGCTCAAAATCCCAATTTATTATAGTAATTTATATTTTAAAACATTCCACAACTATTACAACTTTTCACACTTTCTGAGGGTATTAAATTTGGTTAGACTCATTTGCTATCCTGTTTAAACATTCCTCAGTTGGTTGAATTTTCTATAAAACAGCTAGTGACAACTTCATTTTCAGCTTTCTATTTATAAGGAAATGTTTCTATACATAAAAAGCCTGGGCTTTCCATCAACAGGACATAAAAACTCAGTGGAAAAATCTTAGTTAGGTTCTTCTGTTATTCAGACCCCAACATGTTAAATTCATAACAGTCTGCCAGTCGGCACTAACATATTTCTTACTCATTTTCCTTGAAAGGCACACACAGCCTACTCTTTCATTGACTTTTCAATTTACCAGGAGATGCTTGTGAATTGCTTTGACACATCAAAGACATATTGAATGTGCCTCCTTAGCTCTTGTCACTATTGTTTTCTTCACACTAAGTCTTAAAAACTCGCTTTTACTATTCCATTTGGCAAGGAAAATGAGTCCTTTCTAGGTTCTTTGATTAAACAGGTATTTTTCAAGAGTGTTAAAACTGATGAATTAAAAATAATGTAGCTTTAATTAAAAATCTTGACGATTTTCTGCTTTTAAAATATTCAGCACAAGTCTGGGGGGAAAAATGTGGAAATACCTAAAAATTTACCTTGTTATTACACAATTATTATGGGATGAATTGATTTTCTTGTCCATACAATAAAACATTTGAACTTTGAATTAAAACCTCAGAAGCTGTATAAAAGTTTTTTTCACTGTAATGTTCTACGCTTAAGCTTTGAAACACATTTATTTGACTTCAGATCATGATCCACATATTAGATGAAGCAGCAAGTAAAACATAAGTAAGTTAAACATAAAAGCATGCATTTTTTTCCAGAATGTGTGATAAATTAGCTTATTCTCTCATATGCAAAAATATCCACCACTGAATTTTTCTGAGTCCTGAATCTGCCTGTTCATTGCATACATCCGCACATTGATAATTTAGTCTTCATGAATATTTGAAAGGCTTTCCTCTTCAAGAACTACATTGCAGTATAACTACTAATATAGTCATATTATATTATAATCAAATTTCAAAAGAAGTGATGGGCACTAATAAAACCACAGGGGGCTGTGAGCTGCTATGACCATTACCATATAGTGTGTCTTTTGGTAAGTTCAGTGAATGGCTGTAGCAGTGTATTTAACACTGAGCTGATAAAATCAACAAGCAGAAAGAGCAAAAAGTAATTCAAAGTCTGTCCCAGAAAATTGCTGAGATATGTTGAAAATTATTTGGCCACAAAGTGGTGCTAGCAGTTCTTCTTTGCCATGTCAAGCACCTCCAAGGCACAGAGAAATGTAACAGCAAGCAGGTAATCAGTGCCAGAACTCCCTTATTGAAACACCAGCTCTAAATGTTTCTCTTCTCTCAAATCTTGGTGGCAACAGCTGGGGGGAGCTGGGAAAGTCCTTGCAGGAATGGGAGGCAGGAGGATTCTTTTAAAGTCTGTGAGGGTTGAGGGCTTTTTTCCCCAGTTATGATTTCTTAGGTTTGTTTTTGGTCTTGATAATTTTACAAACTAGTGATAATGTTTTTATGGGTTTTATCTCTTATCAAGGTGAAGTTCAACATCAGACACCAGATTGAGAAAATAATAATTAATCATTCTCCTTTCTCCTCTCAGCCCAGTCCCATAAATTAGATGCTAGGCCTGTAAAACTCTCTTAGGCTGGCCTCTGAACAATTTAAGAAACCATTTCTGCTGTTCAACCTGATACAGCAATACATGTAAGTAAACACATTGTGTGAAATTTCAGACATTGGAAATTTCCACTTTCTTACTCCCTGTGAGAACACTGAACTTGCTCTGCATATCTACTGCACACAAACATTTTGCTGTGAGCTACAGTACACATATGAAATGGTACTTGAAAATATTTATTTATGCTACTTTGGAGCAGGTACCTCCTTTATTCTGTTTCCAACATCTGCAGTTCAGTGCTGCAAAAACCAATGCCTATAACTCACAGGTTTCTCCAAGCCCCATAAGTCACAACTTTCTCAATTATATTTTCAGCATGCAGTTTCAACCTGGCCACTCTTCCGCACATCATAAGCAAAACCTACATGTTCAGTAATATTCCCTTCAAGAATTTAATTTCCCTCTGTTAGAACATGCTGATAGTAAGAATTGCAAAAGGCTTAAAAATAAGATGCTCGAAATCATAATTCACATGGATGCGTAACAAAAACATTTAATGCTAAACACTTCAAAATTATCTCATTAAAAAAAGAAATTAATTAAAATTATATGATCTATGGCATAATGTGTGGGAGAAGAATTTTTAGGTGAAATTGTAATAAGTGTTATTATTATAAGTTAGTTTCTAGATACTCAACCATGAAAAATGTTATTATACAAAATGAAAATGCGTATTGTTTTGCTTTCTGCACTTACACCCTTATTTCTAATTCAGATAGCAAATTACAAGAATAGCCTGTGAAAATGAAATGTGGGGAAGATTAATTATTATTTGGTTAAAATTCAGCAATGCTTTAGAACATCTATTGTGTGTCTCTCTCTCTGAAAACATTCCACAGTGTACTCATTTACTGCTATATCTGTTTTTCTTGTGTCAAAGGTCTGTTCAGAAGAATTTATCTTTACATGCTCATCTTCTCTTTAAAAACAAAAACTATTTTTTGACATGCTGCTTGGAGCAGCATTAGAAATATTATTGTATTGTGTTAACATGACAGCCTTGAAGCAGTTACCTGTTAATTATGCAAACAGGCAAACATGTGACATTTAACTACAAAGCTTACAAGGAAACAGATCTGTGAACAATCAGAAGCCTCTTATTATCAACACAATAACCTTTTAAAAGACATTTAGTTCTACTGGAATAGTTTCTGGATGAAAAAGATCTCCTTGGTCATCTGGGTTATCCAAATTCAATTGCATGAGAATGATATATTGGGGAATGGTCCTGACCCAGCAGCAGCACTTACCTGATTATGGCACAATTCAGTTACCTAAAAAAGGTTCTAAATATAGGCAATTTATTTCATACTAAGATTCTTTCTTCTCATAGCATCATTTTATTTAATATCATCTTGCTTTTATGAGTGTCAATAACAGATTTATTCTCTGGAAAACTGATATTAACTATGGAAGTGGCAGTTTCAATTACTTTTAATCACAAGAAATAAATGGGCAAGTACCTCTTCCAATCATGTACTCAGTTCACTGACAATTACTTATGGTACAAATGGTTGGAGTATTGTCCTTTATAAACATTAAAATTATAAAATTTTAAATGTTAAATTTTATTAAATTTATTTAACAAAAATTAATTAAATTAAACAAAAATTAAATTTAATTAATTTAAATTTAATGTTAAATTTTAAAATTTAACATTAAAATTCTAATAAAATTATTTTTCTGTATTTTTCACCACAGGATTTTACATGAGAATTACCAGTGTGGAATTTGATCACGAGATTGAAAAACCAACTAAACAACATCAAGAGTTATTCGTCTTATAGCTTATGGGTAGCTTTTAAAATTTTAAATGAAAAAAAAAAATCTGAGAAACATGGAGGCCATGCATTAAAAGCAGTAAAATTACTAAAATAATTTAGACATAGAGATATATATCTCATGTACATATAGAAAATGTCTACTCCTATTTGTGCTTGTTCAATGCCCAAGATCATGTTTTGCTACTAATTTTTAAAGTTGCTTCAACAAACAATTATGGTATTTCTTACTTTCACTTTGACTTCCATTTCTTCAAGTTCCTGAAGTAACTCTTCATTTTCCAATAGTGATGAGCCTAAGTTTTGCTTCTGAAAGTAATTTCTGATGTTTTTCTTATACCAAGACGTTACCTAATTAAATAATTAAATAATAAAAAGAACTCAGTAAGAAGTTTGAGAAGTCCATTTTTAAAAATATGTACAAGGTAGTTTAATTTAAAAAAAACCCTCACATTTTCATTCCTTTAATATTTCATTCCTAATGTTCATGCTTCTATTTAAACACTTACATTTGTGTCATAACAAATGCTGAAGGAAAGGACTAATACTAAAGCAAGCACACAGTGGATATATATGACAAACAAGACAAAAATGTATTCATCAAGCATGAAGATCAAGTATCAAGATTGTGAATTAACACAGTAAAAGAAGAATCAAGTTATAGCCACGCACAGAATAAATGCATGTTTTTTGATACCATAAAGATATTGTACATTCTCCCTTGACATACAGTAACTTAAATACTTGCATACAGTAAAACACTACAAATCTGAGTACTTCTGACCTAGTAGAACCTCTCCAACCCTGGCTTGAAAAACCCAGTAAAGACAATGGGATACTATTGTATCCCAATCTTATGTAAATGTACAAATCTACGACGTCTTACAAACCTCTTCAGCAAATATATGCAGCAAACATGTGCAGCATACAATTAAATATTCTAAATTCCACAGAATTACTTGCATTTGTACCTGCTTCATTCATAGTAGGTACCTCTCACATTTTTCATAAACAACACATGGCAAGAATTCCCAAGTGAAGTTCCACATTTTAAGATAGTATCCAGAATTAGTTATTGGTATCAAGAGGACTTCCTCCAATATTTCCAGTCTGGAATATCACCACTACACTTAGATCGTAGGCAGCATACGAAGAATCTCTATACTCTACAGATTTTAGTAGCCCACTAGAGACTTTTTGTTTTTGTTTTATCTACTCATGTAAAATCATGTTATTTGTAATAAATTTAAGCAATTACAAAAAAAAAAAAAGAAAAAACTTTTTAAATATATTGGAAGTATTTTCAGTTACACATAAAAATTATTCAGATTATGAGTCCAAGAGACCTAGGAAATTAAGGAAATTATTTTAATACTAAGCCTTCATCTATTGAGTATATCATCCAGATGTGTTTCCTGACTGAAACATTTTTCCTGGAAGCACATTTTCACAGAATATTTATTGAGTTCATCAAAAAACAAATAAATGGAGTGGACAATAAAACCTGTGCTAAAAGGGAAATAAAAATTTATTTGCAAATTAGGTCTGGGGGATTTTTATCATGTATCTGTTTAACAAAACAAGCCAGTATATCTGTAATGTTAGGCAGAGGAAGAAGTAATTTTTTAACCCTGTTATAACAAAGTGTTCACCCCTTTACCACTTGACAATATTCCTTTCCATTACAGTGAGTTTAATCAGCTGGTTTCCACTACAGCCAATACCTCTGAGTGATTTCACTGTGCTACCTTAGCTCTGAAGAAATGGCTGAGACTTCTTAACTTGCTTTGTAAGCAAAAAACCCACAGAATTCCACTTTCAGTGATATTGCTGAAGGTATGGGAAAGGAGACAAGGTTAACACAGCTGCTAGAAAAAGACATGGCATTCCTTGACTGGTTGAAATCTAAAATCACTCCTGTTTTTCAAGAATCAGATTTTATCTTTTGTTTACAATAATTATTGACCAGATTAATTACTTTCTTCTTCCAAAGATGATTTATTATGCATAAAATAGGCCAATCTGGCTTTGATTTTCATTAATGAAAGAGATATCAGAAAATATGATGCTGACACTTCCATAAAGGAAGCTATGTAAAATAAATACGCTTTCACACATTGAAAATTCTAAAAAAGAAATATGTTACAATCATGACTATCAGATCATCACATTCCAGTTAGAGATCAAAGGGAGATGTTGCATTTTCAGTGTTTCATAACCTGGTAGTAAGGGATAAACAACACATAGATTTTGCATCCTTCTAGACTACACATCTGTGCCTAGAAAAACAGAAGCAACACAAAGAGCAAAAAGCTACTCTTAGACTCAATACAGCAGAGCATGTCTCCAGTCCTCTTTTTGCTCTGTATCCCCTTAACTCCCACTAACATCAGTCAAACATTCAAAAGTTAGGGTTTCCTCAAACAGAAGTAGCCCAGAAATATAGGCTTAATAAATCTATTTAAGCTCCTTCTCTGTTTGTACTGTTAAGCAGTTGCTGGGTTGGTTTTTATACAGTGGTTTCCCTTGATATTTTATGTGTTACCTGGGTCTCCTGTTGGTGCCACAAGCAAATTTGCAGAACCTGCTCCAGCCCTTGGCGCTGATGTCTGAGGAATTTGTCCAGCTGGCGTCTCCTGTCCTGCAGCATCTCAAGGAGATTGTCAATCTTCAAGCAGCTGCTGTGGGCTCCTTGAATCAGCTCTGGATTTGCATTTGGCCCCTCACATTTGAATTCTTCTATGAATTGAGTTAGGTCATGGCTTTTGTTTAAAAGAGCAAATGACTTCTCCAAAAGTTCTGTAAGAAAATAATTTCATCAGGAAAAACCCAGAGTGCTTTTTGATTCTAGTACCATATTTCAAATTACTCATGTATCTTTCAAACTATCTATTTGCATACACAAGCACAACATATTTTCATGCATTGCATGAACATGAATGCTTACCTTAGAAGATATATATATTCTAAGATATTTCAATTTGGACAGCTCTTATGTAAACCCACAGAAGTACAATGGTGCATACACATATATACACACATGTATAATGGTGTACTGAGAGACATCAAATCACAACCAAGAAGTGTCATTTTTTTTCTCAAAACTGAGTTCGTTTTGATGGTTTCCCAACCTGTGGGTAAGCTGAAGTGTAATTTTCTAGCCTGCTTCCCATGTGGGTCATTACCCTCTGCAGTTTTTCACTAATGAAGCTAAGTTTAGGTCTTTACATCCCTCACAGGTGTTGGGGAAAAAAAAGTGTTCTCACACCTGGGGGCTGTTATAAATAAGTCAGGGGTATCAGGAACTCTTACCTTCTTCTATAGTTTTAACCTAGACACATACAGGGTTAAAATTCTGGTTAAAAGTGGACTACTCCACTTTAATCACCTATTAGTGACATATATATTTTTGTTCCATCTCCTGAAAGTCATATCGTTCCAAATCTATTAGATGGACAATGATCAATATTTCTAAATCTTTCAAGTGATAAGGGATTTTTTTTAGGCACAGAATGAGGAAGAAGGGGGGACAAACCAATATAAGTGGCAAGGTAGACATGAAGAAAAATATAAAGAAAGGAATATTTACCAGGGTCTTCCAATAAAACAACAAGAAGCAATCCTCCTGAAACTCTGAACTCTGACCTCTTCCCAGCTGAGTACTTGTAGTGATAATTCAAGGCAAAGCACCCTAAATCCCCACCTTTAACAAAAACACTTAGGGAAGAAGCAGAGTGGGAGGCCTCTAGTTCTTCAGTCACCAAGGGTTAATCAGAGAGATTAGGGTCCATGAGCTCACTGTAAAAAGCCTGTCCATTTTACTTCTTGCCTTCCAGAAAAGTGGTATTAATCAAAAATGTTTCATTTCAGTCCATCCAAAATTGAACATACATAGAAATGGGTAAACAAATATATTTAATAAGTTTTCACTTTTTAAATTCCATTTTGGAGTACATTTGTGTTAAAATATTTTTTTTAAATTCCAGAGTGATAAGCATTTGTGATAAACTACTTATCGCATACTGGTAGAGTCAATACTTGGCCAGGGTTGTATTTTCAGACACCTGTCTTTGGAGTGGGTAGAGAGTATCCTTCCTGTAGAAAGCTCTGCTTTTTATCAAATACTCAATAATATCAGCTTTCAAAATTTTTATTTTATTTCAGGGTAGAATAAGAAGTCAATAAATTGCAGCCACTTTCCTCCATCTGAGGGAAGTCTTATTTCCATCAAAGCAGACTTTGTCTGGCAAATAATTTCATCTGATACTTACAGTTATAGACCATATTTTCAGCAGTAAATTGCTGCCAGATACTTCAAGTTTAAATTGGTATGCAGTGACTACTTTGCTCCCATGAAGAGCTATTTGGAAGACTCAAAACCCATATTAGTGTTATCCAAGTTGGATTCTCTATTCAGACTCCCAGAAAGAATAACTGGTGTTCAAGGTAGCTAAAAAGTTTTAGCTAGTGCTCCATTAGTGAATAATAAAGTATAATTGATATTCTGCCAAGTTTAATTTAAAAATTTGATTAAGATTACAAAGACAGAGTCTTAAGACTTATAAAAAATGCAGAACCATATAGAATTGCAAAGGTGTCTAAAGAGCCACACAATGAGATTATTTCCAAGACCTTTTTTCTCTTTTTGATTTGAATGTGTCACAATATAGTAGAAGGTTCTTCACACAAAAGCTTGAATAAAGAAAAGTAATTAATGTGAAAGAAACTTTATGGGCAAAGATATGTACAAGAAAGTTGTTGAAGGCGACATGCAAGGGCTAGCTTGAAACCAGGCATTTCACATCTTTCAGCAGTCTGCCAAAATCTATCTCACCATTATATTTTTTCCAAACAGAACATCTGCATATTTGTTATAAGTTTGGGTTGTTTTTGGTTTTTTGTTGGTTTTTTTTTTAATACACACAGAAAGAATAAAATTACTCCATCAAGAAGTCTGCACACAAGCACATGCCATCAGAAGTGGAATACTGTTTGTACCTTTTGTATGATGCTCTTGTTGCAGAAGAAGTTCTCTCAAAGAGTCAATATTGTCAAACTCTTGAGCATTTTTTAGGAAATCTTCAACTTGGTCAATTTTAACAGCAAACTGCATTAAGGAAACAAAAGATAGGGAGAAGCACGCTGTAATTGTGTTTTGCATAACTACATCATAATCTCTGTGTTATTGGGAAAGCTCAGGAGAATTTGTAAATTCTTGGAGAAAGGCATTTTTAGTGACTGCCAGATACAGATGCTTTGTGGCCTCTATGCACTTCCTGAGTTGTTTTTTTCTTTCAGGTACTGATTGATTGAAGGATTTTAGCTGACACAATCTGTAATTACAATTTGCCACTTTGTTAATCATCTTTTCTACAAAGCTTTGTGCCAAATCTAATTTCTTTGTATAATACATACTATCAGAATACAGTAATTAGTAGATTGCTCATCTTGGGCTTCTTGGGACAGTTAGCAATCCCATGGTTGCTTCTGCAATTTATAGGAGGCACTGGAAACAAAATTATCAGGGAGAATTATTAAACTCTTCAAGTTCCAGGATGTGGGGACAGTTGATCATGAGGCTACACACAGTGGGCAAAAGCCTGCAGGGTATGGAATCCCTCTCTTTAGCTCCCTGTGTGTATCAGTGAATTAGGATGAGATAAATGGGTAAACAGGGATCACACAGTTTTTCTTTTGTGTCCATCTCCACAGCAAAATCTCAGGTAAAGCACTGTCAAGTTAGACTAATGTTTGCTTTGTGAAATTATGGATATTTTGGTGTAAAACTTTCAGTGACCAATCATCAATGTGCATCAGTAAAGGCACTTGAGAGTAAGTTCTTTCAATGCCAAATAATTTTAGTCATAAGGAATGAAAGCTATTCTGCAGAATGTCCATAGCCACTGAAATACATATTTTAGGGTTTGGTCCAGTTCCACTTTTCATTGGCATTTTCTGTCAAGTACAAATTTGGGAGACAATATGACTAAAATATTTATTAAAGTCAACACGGTGTTTTGTTCAGCTTCATCCTGCACTATCTGAAAGGTGGAAAAGGAAGGATCCTGAGGAAGGATCCCAATAATTTAATTTTATTGTTTGACTCAAACTTTAGGAATACAATGAACAATATAAAACATATTAAAGTTACAGTGGTCAGAGTACTTGTAAGATGAGGGTGGCTTAAATTAACAGTTATTTCATTTAAATACAAACCTCCAGAGCATTTTCAAAGAACACTGAAGTAAGTTCCAGAAGTGCCTGTCGCTTCTCTAGCATAATGATGAGGGCATCCCATGCATCCCCAAGGGTCTCCGCCATGGCATCATAAACCTGAGTCTTTTCTTTGTTCTCCTCTGCAACCTTGTCTGCTTCCTGCAGCAGGTCCCATACCTTGTCTTCCAAAGCCTGAGAAGGAAATATACCAAAACAGCACAAACATAAGGAATGTGTATGCAAAATCCAAAAGACTGTGCTGATACCAGTGTTAGGATATTTTTACACTGGGTCTGTACAGGAGCCACAAGCCTCCTACACCTACTTTATTTCCATTTCCCAGTGATAGGAGTGCAACTATTTCTGCATGTTTTATAGCAAGCTTCTGAATTTCAACTGCACTTAAGAGGTAATAGTTTTATAAAATTCAATATTTATGCTCCAAAGTTTTTACATCTCCATAAACACGTCTTCCTGGAAGTGGAAGTAATAGTGCAGATATTTTGATTCCTCTTTCATATGTCATCAAATTATATTACTGGACGTTAGAAGTTTTAGAAGTTTGTGAGGTAATTTACTCTTAAATTTCTGATGACTACAGTGCAATCCAGACAAGAGTGGTTTGAACATAAACAACTATTGTCCAAAAAAAACCCAGACCTAAGTTATGCAATGTTTCAAGTTCAGCTTGCTGCATTGGTCAAGCTGGCCACCAAATAATAATGCTCTACTGTCAAAATAATTCTTCTGCGTTTCATTCCTAATCTCACCACAAGAAAGATTACTGCTAGCCATCTTATGTTACAAACCTTCAGTGTGTCAGAAAAATTGATCAACATTTTTTCTGTGTTCTTCCCAACCCCCATCTTGGGTTTTCTCATGAGCATGAATTAATGAAGTGTCACTCTTTTTTTTTTTTTAATTAGAGGTGCTATCACATGAATATGTAATGTAAAAATAAATGTTTATTAGGAAATTAAAACAGCCATTCACATACTACTGGATAAAAATTTGATTTTCAACTCTAAGAGAAGCCTTTATGATGTTTCCTTCTTGATGAGGCATAAAATTGTTACATGCATAACAACTCAGTAAAAGCAGTGGCATTCATTAATCATCCAACATGAGATATTATTAACATTCTAGACTGACTCTGTAACAAATATAACAGGAATTAAATGAGTATATGAGATATTGATAGTCTCTTTACTAACTCAACATCTTAATATCAATTAATGAGAAGCATTATAGTCATGACAATGCTGATATTAAAAAAAAGGGGTAAAATATTCTCAGAATGTTACACCCAAACTGCTTGTCACTAGAAGGTCAATTATACCAAAACATCAGACCACTTTCACAGATGTTCTGAATACACTGTAGAAAACCAGATGACATCTGAGTTCCACATGGAATTTCTTGGCAAAGACTAGTTTTCAAAGAGCTGACTATTTTATATTTTGAAATAGCACTAGGTATGCTTTTATCCTAATATTACATCAGCTTCAACATATTTAAAAGACATTTCAAATGCTAAATCTTTCCTAACTACACAAGAAGAATGCTACAAAAATGGTGTAGGACCAAGAAGAAGATTTTCTTCTTTTAGAAGCCTTTTTTTCTGAGCAGGTTGTTAATTACCATTTATCCCTGGCAAGTAGGCTCTGTTTTCTAGCAATTGATTAGCTGTGAGGAATAGCTAATCCCTAAGACACAGAGAAAACTGGAATATCCTTCAAAGGTTATCAGTCATGCTTCCTGCACCTTTTAAAATTCAGTTACTATGGGATGAATTCAAATCCAGCCAAAGAAAATCAGAAGGTTAAAGGAAACCAAACTACTGCATTTAATGAAATGCAAAACTAGTGTGCATAAAGTTACAAAAAAAAATGAAACTGTTCATGTGTAATAGTCTTTTAGTGTTTAGAACTGATAATTGGAAGTTTTCAAATACAGACTTAATTTTTTCTTTAGCATGGATTGAATATGGTTCAATAATTTAAAATGGGTGTGTATTATATTGCCTTCAATTAATAACTCCTGTAATGCCACAAAAACCCAATATACTATTAAAAGAGCTGTCATGTTGTCTGTTTCCTCTGCAACAGAGAAAATTACATTTTGAGAAGACAGACTAATTTAAAATAGAAGAGAGGAACATTTTACAGGAAACTGCTCTTTCTTTGAGAAACGGTTCAAATACCCTAGGTGGTCAGAGTGATATTAAAGTTTCATTGCCTTGAGTTTACAATTATGTTTCTCACAACTGTCAAAGCCACTAGTTACTGTGAACTTTCAAAAAAATTATCCTCAACTATGTTAGTTTCTATAGACTACATATGTGAATAGTTCATTTTTAAATGAAGTAGACTGATATTACTGGTTTTCTACTTTTTCTCTTTGAAATATAATCCTTTTATCAACACAGAGCCAAGGAATAATTTGGACAGGACTCTTCAGGACATCGGTCTAATCCCTTGCTATACTTATTCAAGGACTTAGCCCATGAAGTTTTAAATATCCCTAACAATGGAAATTCTAGGACTTTTCTGTCCAACCTCTTCTAGAATGAACTCAGTTTGTGGTCAAACTTTTTTTCCTAATATCCATTTGGTATTTTCATTTTTCCAACTTGTGTCTCTCGATCTAGAAGCAAATGTAGGAAGAGGAAAAATGTGTGTTTCCATCAAAAAAATTATTTCACAGAAATCTGTATTTTAATGGGTTTTTTTTGGGTTTTTTTTTTCAGTTGAGTGAACTTAATAGAGCTTTCCAGTAAAGACTTGAAATTATTTTAAACAATTTTGGAATCTCGTGTTTCATTCCCTGTGAACACAAAAAAATAGAAGAGTTTCTTTTTGGACGCTGAGAAGCTGGAATGAAGCCTGACAATACAAGGAATGCCTAGCATGTAGTCAAAAAGGAGCTCATGCAAACATGCAACTTCTGTTGCTGCCAGTAAAACCTTGTCAAAAAAGCTTTGCTCTGAAAACAGCAGACCAATTTCAATTTCTATTAAATATCTACAATGTCTAATTCTACCACAGCAAAAGAAGAGCGCTGGTAGCTTACAGCGAGCAATGTCCTGGTTCAGACGGACTGCAGGGATGCTGGGAGGATGCAATCCCAGGCCTGCAGCAGGAATGCTCCCTGCCTGCTGATGCAGCTGCTGTGCAGCCACACCTCTCCCCCCACTCCGTCTCAGGGTACATTTGCCTCTGATATTGCAGCAAAGACAGAAAATTCTTTCATGTAATTTGTGTTGGATAGCATAACTTTTGTATTAATTTGATCACAGTCCATTATTAGAGTACTTTTCCTTCTGTTAAAAGAGCAAGGAATGAGAGGGGGAAATTATCTTTTGCCTTTCCTGAGCTGTTGTACGCTGACTACATAACTTGGAATTTTCAGAGGTGTAAACTACCCTCACATTCTCTTAGCACGGAGCTGCTGCTAAAATTAACCTTTAGTTAGTGCTAAAAGGCAGTGCTGAGATAATACAGCACAGTTGGTAACTTGAAACCGGAAAATAGTCATAAAGCTACCTTAAGACAAATATTATTTTGGTGGGAATTTTTCTCATATAAATATTGAAATTGATGAGTGACCTGGACAAACACTGAAAAAACCATATTTATTACATCTTACTTTACCTTTTCCTTTTTTCTTTTTTTTTTTTTTTTTTTTTAATCACTTGCAAAAGTCAGCTCTGGTTTGATAAAAATGCTGCTGAACTTTGATGCTAATAATTCAAAAATATTAACAATAATTTCTTCCATAAGAAAATAACTTTAAAATAAGCATTTTCAAAACATTTTTGCTTGAAATAACTGAAAGGCTTATTTAAAAGATATCAAATGCAAAAAATTAGTGTATTATATTAGTGCTTTTTGATGACTGTAATTTTCTAGTTTTTTTCTCTTGGCTATTAGCATATAAATTAATATTTTGCAATTTATGCTCTGTAAATAAAATAATTAGGAGCAATCCTCAGGTTCACGAGCCAAATTAATAACAATAATGTTTTTAAACTTAAGTTTATGGACTGGATTCTCCTCAGTTTTGCGGCTGTTCTGCCACAGTCTCTCTCATGATAAAAATCAGAATTCTGGAAGCAAAGCAAGAATGCCTTATCGGGAATTTTCACATTTTTATGGACATACATACACTCTTTTTCTTTTTTTTATTTTTTTTTTTCAGAATATCTAGTGAGTTTTAATATTGAGAGACCCAAGCACTAAGAAATCATGTTATCCCCAAGTAGCGCTTCTCTTGGAAACACAGGAGAACAGCAGAGAAATGTCTGTGCAAAGTGCAATCCAGGTCATTTTACCTCCTGGAAGTCTTGTCTCAGGTTTTATAGGTTTGATTCTTCTCATTTTTCTTTTTAAATTGTGAAGAATGAGACATCCAAATTCACATATACATATTCCCAGAACATATATACCTGCTGAAAGTACCTAAAGAAGGACGAGGCAGATATTGGGAAAGAGACTTCCATGAAATCACAGAAGTTGATGGTTTCAACAAAACTGGTGCTGCTGATATGGTCTGATTTAGACAGAAACAGACTATATTGGCTTAGAATCAGAACCTATTAAATGAGGCTCCTGAGGGGAATTTTATCTGGATGTAAATATTGTATACATGTTCTCTGTTTAGTCTCAGTTTCAATCTTTGCTGCTCAACAATTATTCTTTCAACTCTATTAATAATAACAAAACATCCATTTCCTAATCCATAAACATTTGAAGTGGAGCCCTTTTCAAAACTTGTATTCTGCTTTTTGTTTAAGTAGTAGGGTGTTCCCAATTCCTAAATTTAAAAGAACAAATGTAAATCAGTTATGAATAAACTAGAGTGCATTCTCTCAAAGCAAAGTATTTTGGATATGTTTTTCCCTACAGCCCTGAAGACCACACACCAATTTTTATCACTATAATTCTGAACATAAAAAGAATTTCAAAAATGTTCTAAAAATTACTGTTTTGTCTTTCAACAAATCTGTTCCAATTGCTGTTTAAAGCACCATCTGCCTTACTAAATGTCAAACTGTTTGTTTGGGCTTTTCTAACCCTGTTAGCATTGCTAGTCAAAACCAATTCCCTGAAATACTGAGCTGGATTACATTCCTTTTCCTCTAGCATCAGAAGTACTGTATGTAAACTGATCACTGTGCCAGACTTTGTCCTTACTTACATCTGTGAATCTTCAACATATTGAGCTGACAGAAGAATTTGGCCGGACTATTTTGATTATAACTTGCAATAAATATACTGGGATGAAAATAATGAAGTTAAAAAGCAAAGGGGTGATCAAAACCTAGAACAAGTTTACAGAAGAGCATGGGATAATGCCAGAATGAACAACTATTCCATAAATTATCTTCTAAAAGTTGATAGGTTTGTCTCTACTTTTTCCAAAGGTGTATTTAGTATGAATCATCTAACCCTGGCCTTAAGCTGGACTAGATTCATGATTGAATTATTACTCGTTCAAGAATTTTTATGTGACCTGCACAAAAATTTTATTTTGAATTGGGTTAGTCTAATCAGCAAAGTTGAGCATATGCATATCAAGTATGGGTATCTATCAAGATTTATTTTCCTTTTTATTTACAACAATAAAAAAGAAATGGGGAAACAATTCAAACTGCCTCTTGCCCATCTTTACACAGCAAAGGTATAATTCATTATCAAATGCTAAGTGGAAAAGAATTACCATAAACAATAGTTCAAAAACTGAGAATCAATCTTGGAAAAACTTTTTACGACTGGGTTCAGTGACTTAAGACTATGTAATTACTGACAAGTGTTAACAACTTGCTATAAGTCACAAATGGTCATGGCTGAAACACACACAGCCAGGAAGAATTATAACAACAGTGCAGTCCCTTATTATTACAGCTCATGTCATTAAGGAAAAAGTAGTAATTTTGAACTTAATTATGTTATAGAATATTCATTAATCAATGCTGAATTGAAAGGGCCACAGGAATAAAACATAAAATAATGAGTGTTTGTTCCCAATGTATTTGGATGAAAAGTATTCTTTAAGAGTTTATGCATAATAAATGTTCTGATCTTATTTGAGTTGATTGTAAAATATTATTTGAAACCTTGCTTTTCTTAAAAAATGGGAGTTTCTTTCAGAGATGGGAATTATCTGTTTTCTTTTTCCACTCTTTAATATTTATTTTTGAAAATTAGGCAAAAAATAACCAGCTTCTTCCTGTCATCAGGGTGCAAGAACTCAGTTAATTCTGAATTGCTTAAACAGGACACAGCAGCTTGTTCCAAGAACACCCAAATGTTGCATCAGTGACAATAAAGATGAGGCACTTTGCATAAAAAAGGAAAGCAAAACCATCTCTCACTAGGATTTGAGTATTTTGGTTGGTTTTGGCTATTTGGTGGGTTTTTTCCATAATACTATTCTTCATACTCTTCAAAATCCACACAGTGCAGCGTATTAGCTACATTCTCTATATACTGTACTGAATTCCCTCACACTCATTGGATATTTTTAATGATTGGGGAAGTACATAATCATTGGCATTAAATAAAATACTTGATCCTATCCAAATCATGTTTGTTCTTTCAGATCTCAAATTTATGTAATTCCCCCAAAATTAAATGGATAAGCTACTCTTCGTAGCTTCTATGTTAGAGGAATTCATTTGTCAACTGGCCCGATCAAAACACTAAAACATTTCTTTTTAGGTGACTTCAGATTTCTCTCAGTGTCAAACACCCGCACTTAAAATGATTCAGTTCTTTCATGCAAGCCTGTCACTCAGTGTCCAAATGCCACCATTGCTGTAATCTGCTCTCAGGAATGCCAAAACCTGATTTTAGGACTGTCACTTAATTAAAATATTCCTAGATCAAGACAAGCTGTTTTAATCCTACAGTATCAATCCCAATGCAACTTAGATCAATTAAGATTCAGTTAAAATGTTTGTGGAATATATACTTCAGAATTACAAAGGGCTTACTTGTGTTCACAGCTGTTATAAAATAATCAGACTTTTCACAACATTGGAGAATTTAAAAAATGAATTTACATTCCTTTATATTTAGCAGTTACTGAGAGCTATAGGATTTTTTCACTTGACACTGGTGTATAAAGTAGAAAAAACTGTGCCTTTTCTGCTGCTGTCAGAAGCATCTTTTTCCTGGAAAGAAGCCTAATTTCCAGAGAATTATAGAATATCCTGAATTGGAAGGAACCCACAAGGACCACTGAAGATCTGCTACACTGACAAAAGCTGAACATATTTTTCTCCGTGTCAAATTTAATCTAACCACCATACTGCAATAGGAAGCACAGACAGCTACATCAGCTGTTGTACCTGAACTGTAATGACTTGAGCAATTTGATGACATCTTACCTTCAGCTTGGATAGGAGGAATTCATGATCTTGAAGTAGTTTTTTAGTCTCATCTTGATTGCTGCCAATTTCTAATATATTCGGTGTTGATTCAGCTAGCTGAAGCTTCACCCATTTTCCACACTGTAATAAGCACATAATTACAGCCTTCAGAAAACACAAGGTTTCCTTCATTTATTCACTCACACAGATTCCCAGCTCACACGTACTTTCCATGGTCATAGGTGCACAGGGACCATACACGCAAGGAAGTCACAGAGAATACAGCACAAACTTCATTTGAAACATGTAACAAAATCCCAGACTAGTGTTATCCAGAAGATGTTCCAATATTGATTTTGCCCATGAAGAGTAAAACCATCAGAATGAGCCAAAATTTTTTCTCTGACTCATCTCCCCTTTTAGCTAAAGATGACACAGTTAAGTGAACTTGATGGGTTAGCGGGGCAAGCAGAAGTAACAAATGCATTACAGAAGATGAAAAAAAAACATCCTCAGATCTTATTTCTATTGCATGGGTCCAATGTACCTCTATAGTGAGTATATGGAACAAGACATTGCACAGGTAGCAGCAGGGACACTGAACAGCCTTTGGGACAGGGACCAAAGGATGCCGATAAGGACCGAAGCTGTGATGTCACTGGAAGCTAGCATGGTTCCTTCCACAGCACAGAGAGGGAAAATGGCTTCACCATCAATTTGAGTCTCCTTGCAATGAAATTACTCCCCTGCAAACAGCAGACCGACTCACAGGAAGGGTGAAAACTGACCTCAAAAAACCTTCCCACAACTGAGGTAAGCCATCCTGAATAACCACCTGAATTAGGTGACAACTCAACTCATTATCACCTTATTCTGCATTACAAACAGACTCTAATGGCTGAGGCTAGCACGTTTTTCAGGTTGCCTGGAGAATGAAAATCAAACTGCCAATAAATTCCAGCTGGGATTCATTATTAGCATCTAGATTTTCTCCCAGTGCCGAATTTTATGTCAACTGAAGGTGTGGATTCCAACTCACGAGACAGGCCTTTCCATACTTATAGACACAACTGTATGTACACAAGGGCTTATTGAAACATGTGGGACGGTAGATTCACAGCTTTCAAAAATAACTACTCATTTTTAAGTTTAGACTTTTTTTTTTTCCCCCAGAAAATACTTAATCTGTGGAGTTTGTACACTTATTGTGTAAAATTATTAGAGTACAGGTTAAAGTAACTCAAGGAGGCTGAACTGCAATCACCATGCTTTAAACACATTATTATGCCACTCTCCATTTAACTCTTTTTAAACAGAGTAAGAGGAATTCCTTCCAAGACCCTATGTATTTTGACCAAACTCTTTATTGTATTGGAAAAAAACAGCCAACAACTCAAAAGCCACCAAGAGTAATTGTGAACAGAAACAAGTGCTAATTTCCAAGAAAAGCCTATTAGACATTGACTAATCAAATGGCCTTGCTGTACCGTTTCATGCTAACTTCTCATTTGCAGAGAATATTTGAAAGCATTAATGACGGAGAAGCAGAAGGACGAGAGCAGTTGGTGCCTTACCTTCAGCACAGCTATGACAATACTGGCGTCCCCAGCCTGCACAGAAACTGAGCTGACTGTTGTTGTAGAAGGCTTCTGCTCCGAGCTGGCTTCATCTGACATGGTGTTTCACAAGGGGACTGCATACATCAAAGCAGATTGAGACTCTCTCAGGGTCCACTGCTCATTGCAGAAAGCACCGGAGTCGCTGGGATTCATTCAGCGAAACGGCTCAGCTAACACTGATTAGTCTGCCAAAAGGAAAGAACAGGAGGTTAAAAATAGACAACTCCATTGAGTTTATCATTCTTGAGAGAGATTTGACACACCCCTAGTTTGGTAGCATTAAGCTGCCTGTTCTTTTTTGTCACCATCTGAAGTGTGAAGGGCTTCTTCCATGGACATTGCCTGACATCAGTTAACCAAATTTTTAAAAGTTCTCAAATTAAAACAGCTAGAAAAAAAAAATTCCATTGATTCTATACTGACAAACCCAGTGTTGAGGCTTCGAACATGCAACCATCAAATCAACATTTTCACATTATGCCAGTAAAATACTTTCTCACTTACTAGCTACTGAAAATATATGTTCAACATGATTCTCCTGCTGAATCAAACTCTTTAAACAGGATGAGCATGTGTATATATATCAAATGCTAAATCAAAAGAAGGGATTTTTAATCCAAAAATACTTAAAGGTGTAGTGACCATAACAATCATAGAAGGAAATCAAGCACTTTGAATCCCTAAGGAATATTTTATTCCTAAAATCAAGATAATTTACTCACTTTTCAATTTAATCTTAAATTGTTTCTAGAGCCTTAATTTTGTTCTAAACGAGCATAAGGGAGACCTCTCTAATAGCTGCTTAAACACTGCTTAAGTTTTTTATTCAATGTGGGGAATTATAGACATGTTTAGATTACAATGTTGGTTTGACATATTAATTTTATTGCCATTAGTCCAGAGCATGCCACAAGTAGCCCACACTATGGGACAGCAGCTGCTGGGTTTCCTTCCACTGAACAGCTGAGAAAGTGACACTGGTGTTTAGGCTTGCAGGTCACTCTGGAAAAGCAATTCCACCCAAGAAACTACATGCATAAGTCTCCCCATAGCATCTGCTTGTTTGGTTTGTTTAAAAATATATAACATTACCTTTTTATGTAAACTCGATTTCTAATTACATACAAGAACATGCACACCTGCAATGGAATCAAGATCTGGAAGCAAATTCTAAGATAGTTTGGATTAGAAGAAACTTAAGGTAGTTACATGGAATTTCAATTTATGTGTCAAGGTAGGATTTTTCTTTTTGTTTGTTCATTTCTCCCTCCCTCCAAATATTAGCAGATTTGATTCTTAATTTGAGCACCACCTTCAAACCATGAGTTTCAAACAGGATATGAAGAAGCCCTTTACTGTGGTTTGTGCTGAACAAAATGATCTTGGCAAAGCAAAATCCATCCCTTGTGCTAAAACACAACCATGAACCCTCAAACTGCCAACCAAAGGACAAATATCACACAGTTTTCTGAAACACTTTCTAACACCTGCAAGAGACCCAGGGACCCTGCCACTGAAATATTAGTCACATCTCCTTGGGACTTGTATGTATTCCTCTAATAAGTATGCAGAACAAAAATTTGATAATTAATCCCAACACAAAACCTGGGAGACAGAAGTCCTAAAGAAAACATCAGGATTGAAACATAAGAAAGCCCTCTTTTGGTTTGAATGGAAGATAGGTCCATTATACAAAACCTGCTAAATACTCCAACTTTCGAAAAAACATTCCTGAAGACAAGCAACTTTGGATTTTTTACCCTGCAGGCAGGACTGCACTTGGAGAACAAAAAGCACCTGGCTGCTGGAAAAACTAATTATGAAAACACAGGCAAACCTTCTTTTTACTCTTACAAAATGAGTTACAAACCAATTTTGATATTATATCCTTGAGCTTTTGTTCTCTCAGAAGAGCATTCTAAGTGTATTTTTTCATGGCACAAGTTGGGCCAATCCATCATCTCCCTGGGGTAGCCAGACATAAGAGCTGTTTTTCACTCAAGTTAAATGAGGTATCATTTTTCATAGTGCTGACAGCTGGAAATAAGGGAAAAATGCCACACTCAAGAAGTTGACTATAAGCAAATTTGGTAACAACCGAGTCAAGTGACTCAGAATGTCTGATAACAAATGCATGGATATTGTATTTATTCATCTTATGTGAAGCATAGAAGATAGAGACAGAGAAACATCAGGATAGTGGCAGAGAAAGGTTATAATGGAATCAAAACATCTTAGAACATAACCCTGGGAGAAATAAAAGAGGATTTTGGCACTGCACGATGAGCAGTTTCAGCTGTGTCCAAAGGAGCAAAATTTAACAAGCACGCCTTTCTCTGTCTTGTTTACTTATCTCTCTGTTCCTCTGTCTGAAACACACAAAAATCCTGGTAGCAGCCAGAAGAAGATGGGTTATTTGTGTCAGGAGAGAGAAGTATTTTCCTTTTGCTACTGCTGTGTGAAAGAAGAGAATGACAAGAAGAAAGGAACATTCACCAGCTGTCCACAGGAAACAACACAACTGAACAAAGGAACAAAGGAAACAGTCTCAGGAAAACAGAAAAAAAAGATCAAGTCTCTCTCATGTAAATAATGTCATTATCTGAAACAACTGTATGTAAAAAGGATGTGAGAGGTCAATATGATAAAATTCACTTCATTTTAACACATAGGGTGTCCAATCCACAGGTTTTTCTCATGTGTAGCAAGCAAAGCATGCTAATAACAGTTTTGATAGTGATACATAGAAAAAGGGTCTGACTTTCCTGGAGATAAGTTTCTGTTGAGAGCTTTTAAGCTACTGATGCACTATGAAAATGCCTCGGGAGAGACAAAGTTCACTCCCTGCAGCCTCAAAGACACAAGGTGCTTCACTTTGGTTTGTAAATGCAGTGGGTCTCCTCTTTCTTCCTTGTCTCAGACCTGGAGAACAGGAATACACAGCAAAGAAGGGAAGGAAATCCCTCAGACTTCTGGGCTTCATGAGGCTTCCAAAAAGGTGCTTCCAGTAAACACTGCTTCCACAGCCCCACCTGAAACAGGGACAAAGACATCAGGCCTCTCCAAGATTGTGATTGTTGCTTTTTACTGGTTCCTGCGGTCTTACCTTTTGAGTAGGGAAAATTTCCAGGTGTCATCAGGAATAAGGCATAAAAGCAAGCAGCCTTGCAAGCCCCCAGGCTCATAAAACAGCCATGGAGGTCACCAAGGGTGAGCACAGAGCAAAAGGTGGGTTTTCCTCCTGGAAGAGGCCTCTTTTTACCCTAAACTAGTTGAATAAATTTCTAGGGTGACAAACTGGTTGAAATTCTAACCCGTTATTCCTAAAACCCGAAACCAAGAATGATGAAAACCCCAGTCAGGGGACACAGAAATGAAGCAGAGGTCCGACAGTATATGGAGGCCTGTGGGGAGCAGTAATTTGGAATATCACCTCTTTCTTAACACTGAGGTGGAAAGTAGTTTTCTTGCAGAGAGCTGCCCTGGAGAGAAGGCTGACACAAAACAGAAGGGAACAGCAGCCCTTGCAGCCTTTTCTCTTTTACTGAGGGCCAGGGGGACAGGACCAACAACAGCTGGGCACAAACCAAATCCCTGAGCCTGGGGAATCTGCTGAGGGGTCACTGCTGCCAAGTTCTGGAGGCAGGACAGGAGCTGTGAGCAGGGCAAGAGGGAGAGAAAGCGCCAGCCAGGGTAAAGGACATTCACTTCAGCAGGTAAGAGCTGCAGCACAGGCAGAAGGCATTTCTGTGTCAGCTGAGAGCTCAGGAACTCAGGAAAAGGCGGCTCTAAAGCAGCCCAGGACTCTGGTGGCCCCAAAAGGAGGTTGTCCTGTCCTTGCCATGGAAAGAGAAAGCAGAGAAGTCACAGTAAAGGGCTAGGAAACAGCTGTGAAAAAATGAAAAAGGGGTAAAATAGAAAACCTGCTTCTCTCCAGCAAAAAGTTTCAAGAACACACTATGTCCGTGTAGCCTGGGGTATTGGTTCAGTTCCAGAAACAATAGTTCCAGATTAATTTTATTTCAAAACATCAATGTATAGCGAAGAAATATATTCTTGTATATTCCCATTCTTCCGGTGCATCACCCCTAACAAAAACTTTTCTACTCTTTTTCCTTAATCACCTGCCCTGAATACGCTTCATACTACACTAAGAAATCAGCATGAAACGAAAAAGCTGTCCAAAAAGCTACCCCAAAAACACCGTCACACAAAGCAGAGAAACTGCCAAAAGGAAAGTTATCCCTGTCACACTGAACATCTCTGTGAAAGAAAATAAAGCAACACTGCTAACTGTAAAACCAGCAGCCTATCAGAGATTAAGAAACCAACAAACATCTTAACACTGCTAATTCAGTGCAATGGTAAGAGCAAAAATCATTATTTGTTTGCTTCCAAGGACAACAACTTTTTAAAAAAATCATACAGTAATAGACACGGGGAGCAATGACAGCTGAAACATTTCAGTCCATTGGTCATCATTTTATCATGTTCCACTCTTTCATCCTGAAGCTTTCTCTTCTCTGTATCCCTCTTTATGGATCTAGAGGATTTCCACAAAGTATACATGCTATTTGTGCCTAGAACCCCTAAATAAGAAATAGTACCTAAATCTCTATTTTTTATTGAATAATAGAAAAATCCAGCAAATTTAACTGGGGTTAAATGTCACTTCAGCCTCCACATTAATTTTAAGAAAGCTCATATAACCTTTAAATTTAGAACTCCAGATTCTAAGTGTTATATAAAAAAGCACCATTCTTTCTAGCATCTGTTATTCAAAAAATTGTCTTCCAGTTCTTTGCTAGTCTTATAGACAAGATAAAGAGGTATACAGCACATAGGGACTGCTTACATTTTTATTCATTAGGCTTGAATTCTAGAAGAGGGTTTAACTGCCCTGTTTTCAGAAATGCTTCTGTATTATAATAAGAAATAACCAATAATAATACATTATTATATATAATAATTATAAATAATAAATAAACAATAACAATAAACAATTAAGCTTGGCAGAAATGCACTCATCTAATCTGCTTTCTTCATATCTTGTTATCCTAGCACATTATTCAAAATGGGCAGCATAAAAAACTAAGGTGTTGGATTCTCCACTTAAGAACTCCTGCAGCAAAACAAATTTCTTGTTCTGAGAATGGATTAACACATCAGTGTTTTCAGAAAGAAGTTCCTTTCCTTGTTAAAACTAACCTCATGCAAAAAAAAAAAAAAAAATCAGATTCTTTACTTGCAGAAGACCTTGAGGTATTTTCATACAATGATAAACCAGAGGAAGAGGATAAAAAGTACTTTGAGGAAAGGAAGAGAGGGGAACATGGGCCCCTGCAATAATTCTGAAGTAATTGACAGCTCTGAGTGATTAACAGTTCTATCTCAAAGTCAAGCTCTCTGAACAGATTTTTTCAAATTGAAAGACATTAGTAACTTGCTATCATAATTTTTAGCAAGTTTAATTTGATTTTGCTGTCACAGACAATAAAAAATACAAGCTGGATTTACACCTTTCCTCAAAGGATAACTAGAGAAAAGACATAAGTGACTTGATGATTGTTCAAGTTTACATGTAGTGGCAAAATATAGACAGTGAAAATTTTAACTTTTGAATGGGGTAAAAAAAAAAAATCAAACAAAACAGAAAACAATTCACAAGTGTTCACAGTTGCAAA